ATGAGCCACATTTGCACTTTTATGAGTGGTTCTGGTTGTGCAAAGGTGATAGAATTTCTGTTCTAGCCTTTCATTCTAGGCCTTTTTCCTTCCTTTTTTGCAGCTTCTCTAAAAAAGTCTCGAATTGCTTAGCTTAAGTTACCAGTGATCTTGGCTACTGTGGGCATTTTTCATATGAATTATATATGAAAATTTTTCCATTGAATTTATTGTGCATATTGTCTCAGATATGATGTGGCTCTGTCTGAACTCGAGCATCCAGTATCATATGCATCTGAAGCTACTTTTCAGTACACACAAGTCCACGAGATTAAAAGTCTAAAGTCCAGTGCTTTGAGTTCTTTTTTGTGAAAATTGGTAATTTGAAATTAAAAATGCCCCACGTGCAAATTTTTGCTATCCTCACAGTGATGCCCTTCTGCAGTTCTGAGTGGTCTGATGGCCTTATAAGTTTCATCTTTTCCTAATATACATAAATAATTGCTTTTTCCAATAAAAGTAAATAAAAAGCTAGAGGAAATAGAAATGCAGGATAAAAAGGTCTTTATTGTATTTCCTAGGATCATGGAATAGTTTAGGTTGGAAGGGACCTCTGGATCCCTATGTTCCAGTTCTCTGCTAATGAATGGCCACCCAGAGCAGTTTGCCCAGGACCAGGTCCTGATGGCTTTCGAAGACTTCCAGGGAGAAAACACCACAAACTCTCTAGGCAGTTTCTGTGACTCTGGAGATCTGGTAGGCCTTGGAACTAAGGTTTTAGTGAGAAGTCAGACAGAGAGATGGCAAGAGTTAAGTTACTACAGAAATGTGCCAGCTAGCCATGTGCACTGCCAGACTGCTTTTTTATTTTCAGTCTTTTTCTAAATCAGAAGATGATTCTGGGTCTTCTCCTTGTGCTGCTTCTCATGGTTGGATGTAGAATCTGCATTCAGTGCTACAAGCACTGGTATTGATCTGTGAAGCTCTCAAGAGTAGATGGCTACTTAGCAAGCATGAAGGGAATTAAAATTTTAGGAAGCAACTTTGTAATAGGACTGGGGGAGCATTACATGATGCATAATGTGAGCATCTTTTGTAAAGACAATGGGGCAACTTACATTCCTTTTGGCTTTTAAATCTTCTCTCTTTTTCTCTTTTTTTTCTCTTTTTCTGCCCTCCCCAAAACATCCAGACAGTTATACCAACAAACCACTAAAAAAGATAATTGGAAAAATACAATAGATACTGCTCAGCAGAAGGTGTTGCTAGCATATCCCTGGTATTCTGAAGTTTCGGGGAGGATTAAAGGAATGAGCAAGGGGCATGCCATTATTTTATCATGAAATGAAAGCATAAATAAAAGAGAAGAAAAGTTTGTGGCTGTATGTGTGATTGATAGGTCTCTGAGAATGGATGCTGAAAGAAAAGGACAGAATTGAAGAAGAACAAAGTGTTACCAGCATAGCTACAAAAGCAGATGCTCAGAACAGGGCATGGCAAGGTTTGTGCTGTTTATTTTCAGAGAAATATATGAAAGGAAATTAGTAACTGATTGATTGTAGAGTGTTGCTCACCTGTATCCATGTCCTTTGCAGCGTGTTTGTTTTGTAGGCTGTTAAATCCACAGCACTTTTCTCTTCCTTCTTTAATTAGTGAAATGTGTGTTGATTTGGTTGTACTGACAAAAGATACTGAAGTAGAATGGGCACTCACCTCAAGTTATAGACTCCAACTTTGAGGCTTTGGAGTTATCTAGGGCGTGTAGTTCTCTTTTTCCATGTATAAGTTTGTATTTATTGATCATGTGATTTTTGGTAGAAGAATTTTCATATCCAGTCATCAATCAGGGCTGGAATTTCCTTATAATAAATTAAGTTTATTCATTGTATTTCATACCTATATCATGGGCTTAACACCATTACTTAATGATACGCAGGCTTTTAGAAGTCTGTTGTTCTCACCTACCAAGGATCCCTTTTGTCTGTTCCCTTTACTTACAGCCCATGCTACTCCAATTCAATTTTTAAAATTTAGTTAATAAACATTCTCCAGGTCTGCCACACCATCTTTTCTGAGACACTTATTTGATCATGTGGATGTCTGTAGTGTAGGTATCCAGACATGTTATATTCAATAGTAAGAAACAATCCATTCAGAGATAGTTTGTCTTATTGTGAAATGAACTCATAAGACAGTTCAGATGAACCACTATGCAAAACTGCCTCTTTTTCCTCACTGCCTACAAAAATATTTGAGTGTGACTAGCTCAGAGATCTGTACAGTATAACAGGGTACAGTGCATATTACTTGAAGTGATTTTTCAGGTAGAATAAAGGGATATATAGAGAAATATCGTAGAACTACCATGGAATAAGACAGCATGATATGAGAAAAAGTGACATTTACAGTTTTCTGAGCAATAGTCTCTCAGCACAATCTAGATGTGATGCCAACTGTGTACAGCTAACACTGACTTGAGAAGATATGTATTTGTAATTCACCTATCCTTTGCAACTGATTATACTTTGCTATCATTATTGTCAGGCCCATGTTATCATGCATAGGTCAGACTGCGTGACCTTATGCTGCCACAAGTAAATTAGGCCAGTTATATCAAAGCAATGGAGTGTGTATTCTGTCAGGTAACAGGTAAGGAGACCTTGATATAATTCTTATCTCCACCTCACGTCTTGTTTGACTTAAGAAACTGCCGTAGCTTCCCTGGGCCATGGCTTTCTTCTTAGTCTCTCATTCCACTTCTGATTTGTAGGGAGCTAGGCAACATCAAAATTAAAAATTGAAGCCCTTGAGTAAAAAATAATGTTTATCATGAGTCATATTTTAGCCATCCTTGTCCTGTCCATCCTTGGGATAATTGATGACTTAATTCTGCCTGAAGCTGAAGCTTCTGCAATCATAATTCTGGCTGTCCTAGCATGAGGTGAAGTAGTATGCAGGTCACTAACGCTTTTAACTTTCTGGGCTGGGTGGTTTTAGATATTTATATTCTACCGTTAAGACATTTAAGAGTTTGATGTAAATTATGGCTCATTTCAGAAGTGGAAACAGCAATGACAATCACTTTCCATCTGTCAGTGCAACATATCTTATTCATTTTTTTTTGCTGTCTTCACAATAAAAGATGCAATAGAGGTGTTTCTTGGGGTCAGAAAAGAGGAGGAAACTCTTAAAGCACCTGACTGTAGGCTCACAGGGTTTAATCAGGGCAACAAGGTTTTTGCTGAATGAATATCATTGTTGCACGTCCCCAAAGAGACAAAGTATTCAAGTCCGTGAAATACAATCCTTTCTTTTTTGAAGAGCTCAATCCCCACTGGGGCTTTGTTGGGTCAGGAGGAGGAGTGCTGAACAGTATTTTCTGGAATAGCCCAGTTCCAGATGTGCTTAAAACCTAATAAATAAGCAAGGATAAAAAGGAGATAAGCCAAATTATAAGCTTAATCCTTATGCATTTTTAGGGCTGTTTTTCACCTGCATCTATCCATCCTGAACTGAATTTGTAAATAACAGTCCTAGCGTTTTGACCCTAATTCTCTGATGATGGCAGGTAAAGGAAAAATACCCTAGGAATGTACTCCTTTCCCACCCACCTTGTGTCAGTCATCAAGAAGTAGGGATTTTAAATATAGATTGAATGCTTAGGAGAAGAAGACCTTGCCATAAGGGCTTTTGAAAATAAAAACAAGGTGAAATCCTTGCTGGCTCAGAGACTTTTCTGAATCTTTCCAGTACCCGAACAAAATAAAATCCAAAGCTTTTCTAGCTAAAGAATTGTTACACGTTTTGCCAGTGAAGCTAGGGATTAATCAGGACACAAATACTCTTGTTACTGTTAACATTTTTATAATGGTTATTGGTTAATGTGCATGATGATTAAGGGCTGGAGCTGCCTCTGATTGCAGTCAGTGGGAACTGAATTAAGGTTTAAATCACTGTTTGAATTTCACTTTTGATTTCCTGAAAAATAATGAGGCTTTGAACAGAGCAGCACCTAATTTGTCTATCAATGGAAATGAATCTTTCTCTTCCCGCATGCATCTATTAGCTTGGGGGTCAAGCAGCTAACATGGAACTGACCGTTGAACCCTTAGCCTTAATCTAGGATGATCCCTTGGCCGACAGGGACAAGACCAGATACAAGACTGATTTTCAGAGTTGCTGCTGAGGGTACTTTATGATGGAAATGTTACATACTTGCAGCCAGTAATGCAAAAATTCTGGCTGTGCATCAAAGTAGTGGCCATTTGGACTATATAATTTGTACATCTACCAGCAAGTTGTCAAGGTCAGTGGTGCTGGTTGAGAAGAACCTTGATAAAGAAAGCAAAGCGTGAGTTCAGAATCTCCTTATTTGCTCAATGTCTTTGTTGTTTCTTGTTAGTTCAGAGTGAACGAACAGTCACTTTATGAGCCAATCTAACATTTCTTTTTTTTAATGGAACACTGTTTTTGTTAGATCAGAAGTGATAAAATGTGTTTTTTATGAATGAAATGAGTTTTTTAAGATTTCTTAATTAATGAATGTGAATATTGATCATTAAGAGTGTCAATTAAGCAAGTGTGCGTAAAATGTCCAATATAAAGGAACAGCTATAATTAGTATGCTGGCAAACACTATTATCACATCAATCCAAGTATGCTGTATCTCACCCTGAGATGAAATATAACCTACCAAACAAACCAGAGGATGCATCAGAAGGTCAGATGACAATGCAAAGAGAAACAAGTCTCTAAATGGGGAATAGAATTGAAAATAAAGAAATAAAGAACTCAAGAAATGAAGTACTCATAAGTGTAATGGTATCAATTCACTGAAGAGTTGAATGTTTTTCAAATTCTCAAGTTTATTTTAGCTGAAACTCCAAAATTGTTTAAAAATGAACAGCTTTAATTGTGAGTGTGAGTTTGGATCCAGCTGAACAGAATCATGTGAAATAAATGTCTCAGACATCACCCAAGGTATTTGTTTTAACATATTTTAATCAATATGCCTCTTGCAGGTCTATGATGGTGTCCAGTAGAGAGCCAGATCTTGTGCACCTGGAGGCAAAGACAGTGGATGGTCGTAAGTACTTCATCTTCCAAAGACTGGTATTCTGAACTGCCCTTAAATGCTTGTAAATACATCATGATGGAGATCTGAGTTTTTAGTGGTTCACTCGTCTAAGGCATGTCTGTCAGAAGAGAAGTCTTTCCAGCAGGGTAAAAAGGTGGGATTAAGAGCCTGTGAAAAGAGCTGAGAATATAGTAAAGAGGAATGTGTGATAAAAAGTAATTGAAATAGAATTCTTTTTTTTCCTATGTGATTTTTGTTTATAAAAGAGAGATTCCAGTGTCACAGAGTCTATCTACTTGTTTCATGCAGTAATCATTGTAGTATCTCCTTGAACATAGCAACCATTTCAGTTGACCAGGGATACTCTGCCTTAGGTACTACCTTTGAAAACACCTCATTTCTCTTGCATTAGAAGCCTTTTACCAACCTAAATGTATTATTCACTGTTACTACTGTCATTGTCCTTCACTTTCATCAGCTGTTCTCCCTCTTTGCTTTGCCTCTCAAAGTGCTTTTCTCCATTCCAGCAACTACCTTTACCTGCAATGCCAGGTTGTTCTTCTGATTGGCTATGAATTCTCTCCGGCACCTCAAGCCACCAGCTGTCCTTTCCTCCTCTTACTCATGCTTCCTCAAGCTTTCTCTTTCAGCTCCCCTGCCTTTGCAGACCTTTCTCCATGGATTTCTTTTCCACAGCACTGGACTGCCTCAGGCATCACAACAGAAGCCTGACTGCCATGAACCCTGTCATTGTCATTTCATATTGTTTCCTCTGTAGTAGCAACTTTATTGCAACATAACAAGCAGGTTTGTGCCATTTCCAATATGTTAGTGTTAATGATGCAGTCAGTTAATTCCTTTAAAAGAGGATCAAATTCTCCCCTGAACTGTACCCTCAAATTCAATGGTGTTACTTAAAATGTGTGTTTCTCATTGGAAACTTAGAAACTGTCAGAAAAAGTAACTGTAAGTAATCAGTTTTTTAACTCATTGAAATTCAGCATGAAAGAGAATTTTTTTGGAAGATGAATTTTGAAAAGAAACAGTTATGATAGAAATCATAAAGTTTTAAAGTTCTTTCCATTTTGGGATATGTAAAATTAGTAAAAGTGAAAGAATTTATTATCTCTGTTTTTTTTTATCATTTGTGTTCTCTGTTATTATTTCTCCTCTCAGCTTCACTTACCTGAACACAGTGGCAAGGCTGGGGACATGAAATTTTCTGTTTCTCATGACAAGTTAAATGAGAATGAAACATTCTAATAGGACAGCATCTTATTCAGCAGAAAAAAAATTGCTGTTACAAAGGCTTTCGGAATTTGAGGTCATTGAGACAAACCACTCTAATCAGTGTTTAAGGAGCTATATCCCGATGATGCTTTGGAGGGACGTTTGTCTCACACTTTGCAGAGAAGGTGCCACACTGCAAATACCTTGAAAAGTGTTATTTGAGTTCTTAGCCTCCAGTAAAGAACATTTTGCACAGCAATAGCACAATTCCACAAAAGATTCCTTGACTGCTTACCAAATTAGTACGGTTAGTATAGATCTTAAGGTGGAAACTAAAACATAGGTAGATGAAACTGTCTGTGATAAGGAGTCAGGCACGTTACTGAAGTTATTGCTCATCAGCCAAGCTCAAGTGACTGATCCGAGTGCACTTATTTTGGTTTAGTTGGGAGGCAGAACAACTTAAATTTTCTCTATTTAGTCAACAACAGAACTGCTAATATAAATCTGGCTGTGGCTTCCAAACTTCAGCTGTTGGTGACCTCCCTTGCAAACCAGCCATTGGGCTGAAATTTCTGCTCATGAGTCAAGAGGTTCCCAGCTCATCAGAAGTATAAGATGTTTGATATTCTGTAAGTGCATGCTCTGTTTTGTCAGTTCTTCTAGAAAGCACTGACAGGGGACTACAGTGGGCAGTTTGAAGCAGTAACCTTGGAACATATCACTGCGTTTTTTGCCAGAAGACATTTGTTAGCACTGCAGGTCAGAGGACTTTGAAGCAGGCTGAGAGAGTATGAACATGGTCAATTACTCTAGTTACTATGACAGATTTCATGTATTCACCTTTCTTGTATACTAGAGCCTTGCAGTACTAAATCAGTAGTGATATAACGGCTGAACAAAAAACTGTTTACTCAAGTTCAAATAGGAAAACAGCCTTATGCTTGTTCTGGCACATTTTCCAGCAGAAGCTGAGTGGTACAACAACAGCTGTAGATGAGAAAATGTCAGCAGAGTATGGTGTAAGCCCATCTTCTTGTTAGAGGGTTGTCTGAGAACATCTATCAACAGCAACCTTAGCATTGGGTTTTCCCTACTAGAATATCAATAACTCTCTAACTCTGCTCTCTGATTACAGCTTGTCTGTGCATTTTATTTATTGTATTTATGTACATAATGTAAAAGGTTTACAAGAGCCAAAAAAGGAGTCTCTTAGCAGGCATAAATCAGAGTAACTTTAGTGGCAAGTTGATTTACACTTGATGAGGATCTGGCTAGCAGTGTTGTACCTGCACCATTCTCCTTTATTTTCTTCTTTCTCACTATCCAGAAAAATGTGGGCTCATCCTGAACACATTATCTCATCAAACTAGGTACTAAACAAACTGAGTACAGACTGTATGATTAGTTTTACTGATGGAGGCAGATTAGCAGGGCTACTCATTGCCATTTATGTTTTTAAACCTGTTGTATAAATCTTGCAATGCACCAGATAACTTTTTATCTCTTCAGATGTCTGAGTTAAGAAGGGATGATTCTGTTAATTTTTTGAAGGCTTCAGGCTCGATTCTAGTCAAGCTGGGCTTGAAAGTACAGTAAGAAAACCTGATTTTTTTTTTTTTTTCGGTTGGAAGAAGTTTCAATGAACCTTATCTCACATTTCCATTTGTATGCTTGGGTGTCTCTGGTGTTCTGCTTTGATTCTGGAACAGGATCAGACCATGCTGTCAAAGTTAGCAGGAATTGTGATTTTTTTCCCTTGTTTCAGGCCACCACCCCAGTAAGACATTTAATCCCCCACAGCTCTTAACAACATGATAAGCTTCTCTTTGTTGTATTCACTGCCATAGTCAGCAGCCAGAGTAACTGGTGAAAGTTAAATCCATATTTATTCAAATGCAATTTGAATGCTTTCAGGAGGTGTACAATCTTAATGGTATACAGATTCTACACTTTTTATTTCTCCTTTTGCTTGTTTGTTTTTGAAGAACAGCACAGAAGTATCCTTAATTCATGGTTATATCTGTTTTGAATTAGGGAGAGTTATCTCAGTAAGGCCTGATTCAGGCTAATTGATATGAGAATGTAATTTTTTCTGGGTGATATCTATCAAGAAATCCAGACTGTTGGTGAGAATTTGAAAGGTGGATTTCTACAAGGCATTTAGAGATTAACTGTGTACCCATTGGCTCCCTCCGGAGAAAGGCAAAGCTGGCTTAAAGGATGTCTAAGGTTTTCCATGGAAAATTAACAAGTGTTAATTTATGAGACTCACGTTTGCTTATGTAGATGAATTTCAAATTATTAGGAGTATCAAGTTTTTAATTTTATATTATATATAGCATATGTTCCTAATGTTCTGGCAAAAATTTAGAGTTTCTGATATTTCAGAAGTTATATTTCCTTTGCTTTTCTCATGTACATAGCAGCTTTTCTTAATAAAAGCTAATTTAGGCACTGCTGTGAGTACAGGCAAAACTAAGACCTCACCTGGGGTCAGCTGGCATGCTCTGCTTGCTGATCAGCAGTGACTGAGCATCTTGCCAGTGGTATCTGAATCACAAAACCGTGCTAGGACTTCAATTTATGTTTTCACAGCACATTGCAAGGAAGAGTAAAATAAGGCCTGTAGTGGGGAAAAAAAATTGGCAACCTAGTTTGACAGGCCTTTTCTAATATAGCTGAGATGGTGAATTAATTCTCAGTCCCCTAAACCATGCGTAATGATTTTATTTTATTTTTCCCACCACAGCTGATGATTAGTATTTGTCTTGGAGAATGAAATGTGTTTGTTTCTCTAATTGTATCCTCATGATAGAAAAGGCAAAAGATATACTTACCCATTCAAAGAAAGACTCTTGACTCTGACTTGCAGGGAAGAAAAGGGAGTAGTAGGACAAAATCAGATTTGTGAGCCATTTAGTAAATGGACTGGACCATTTCATCTTCATTACTGATAATTGCTTTGCAATTGCTGAGACCTGGAGAATTGTGAATGTATCCCCATATCATAAATGTTTCACAAATCAACATTCAGACCAGATGGGAATAGATGAAGAACAGTCATTCTGTGTGTTTCATCAGCAAAAGGGGGTGGGAACATTATAGTATGAGAGAACAGGTAAATAGTGGTATTTATTCCCATTGAAGGTTGTGGATGCTGAAGGTTTGCCTTAAATGCAAAGCATGTGGACAGATTCTTATAACCTTTTCAAGGTTTCTCTTATTAGTCACCACTGAAGATAGGTTACAGGCCTGGGTCTTCAGTGAGATATGTTATTACCGTGTTCTTATGGTTTATTAGTTAAAGGATGTCAGTCATCCTTCAAAAGCAGAAACTATCAATAATATTTGTCACTCAGTAATGAATAAGGTGTAGTACATAGTAAGTCTGGAAGACAAATGAGTCCTTTATTGCGTGGATGCTCTTCACATAAACTCCTGAGCGGTCATTAGTGGATTTGATTGTAGAGAATAGCATGTATTCCTCAGTTAATTAGAAAAGAAAATAAAAAGCAGGAGGAATGTGTTTGCTGTAGTACAGTGAATTCTTCCTCTGACTATCCTTGTGATCAGAGTTTCCCAAAAACGTCCATACAAGCTTAGATTGGATAGAAGAGAATGATAAGTCTTGAGCTGTCATCTAAAATAACATTCTGGAACAAAGTGTCCTGAAGAAAGTCTTGCTCTGCTTCATGAAGGAACTTGATACTCCTCTTTGTATTCTTGTAGAGGCTTGCCAACCTCCAGTAGCCACCAACAACCTTCCATCTCCACCAGCTAAGCCAAGAACGTGTTTCTGGAATATACTTCCCTTGAGAACATATTAGCATGGAGCTTGAGCTAAACAGAAAAGACTGAAACAACTCATGGCACAGGGACCCTCTGGCTCTCAGTTCCTACTGCATGTTAGCATGTTTCACCACTGATACAGATTAATTTTGTCAGAGGTTTCCCTTACAAGACATCTCCTCCATTCTTGTGTACTGTGTTTTTGCAGCCTCTTTAGCAATAGTTGCCATTTCCAGAGAGGAATCTTACTCTAGGTGTCTAAAACTGTCTAAATCAAAGTGTCGGGGGAGGATAAGAGCTAGGACTTGTTATATTCTTCTCTTCAGGCACAGTGTGGCTCTGTTGTTGTATATTAAAAACAGCAGCTGTTGTTGGAGGTGAGGGTTCTGGAAATGAAAAGCATAATGTCCTAATTACCTATGGCAGGGAAAACATCTGTGCGGGAAAACTAATGAAATTAATTCCACAGCTTAGCAACTGAATACATTAATTGACATTAATTAATGCTAAATTACAAAGCTCTGCCAATGGAATCACATAAAATGTCCATGAGAATCAGACATCGAAACAAAATCCTTGAGTTAATGTGAGCACAACAAAGATTCCCTTAGGAAAAATGAGGGATCCAAACACTGCAAGACACCTTTCTTTCTGCTTCCCCGTAGCAGAGGGGGATATTCTTGGTGTGCACATCTCATGGTTTGGCTGTTTGGGAGATTAGTTTAAGCAATTTCAGAGCTCTGCCCTTTAGTAGTTATTACTGGCATTTTAGAATTGAAGCCATGGAGAATTGCACTGTAAAAGTTCACAGGAATTGCCTTAGTAAATCTTCATCAATGGTACAATTGCTGCTGCACGGACTCAGGTGATCCCAGCAGAAATAGACACAGTCCCAATTCTTCCATTAATACAGGATTGAAAAAGCCTCAGTCACCTCTAACAGATGTCAGCCTGTCCTGCTCTTTAAAATCTCTGGGAGAGGAGATTCTTTAATCTTCTTTGATGGCCTCTCCCAGCAGCACACATCTTGCTACCTCCGTGTGCTTGCAGGACAGGTAACTCATTGGCATGGGATGCAAGATGACACTGCTTTTAATGTTTTGAGAGGGATAGCGTGCCTGTAGAAGAAAGCAATGGTGGTGTATTATGAAAAGTAGAGACAAGGTGGGAAACAGAAGTCCGATCTTAGAATGTGCGGTAGCTGTGAAGGACTGTCCTTTGTGATAAAATGGATTCAGTTAACAGGAGAAGTGGGAATTGGTTGTGTTTCAGTCTGTTCTGAGATGCCCGTTCTGTCTTCTGACTGGTAGAGGCACCACACAGCACTGTAGGGTGGTGGTTAAGCTCCATCAGTCCCCTTCTTGCTCACAGTGGGGGGACAGAGGACCGAGCACTTCTGAAGAGGGAACTTTGCTGGTTTGCTGCAATGAGCAGACTGACACTTCTGAGTCTTCCTGCCCTCTCGTGGCTAATGTGGAAAAAAACATGTCCTTGCAAAGGGAAATGCACTTCGATAATGCTGTCTGGGCTATGTTAATTAATGTTTTGCAGTGAGCTGCAAAAGCATAAAATGTTATAAACTGCAGTGACTAATAACACTCAGCAATTTATATATATCAAAAACTCTGCAAATGGGGTAAAATCATTCCTCATCAAAGTTTCCTGAAGGTTCGTTACCCTGCATTTCTATTTCAGAATAGAAATTTCTAAGCAGAAGTCAACAGCCCTTAGAAACAAGGAAAAAAAATGTCAAATGATAGATTTTAATTAAAAAACAAGATTAAATATGAGATAGTAAAAATCCACCCGTTTCTTTTACCACTGAAAGTGCTGCTTCTCTGATCAGAAGGCTGTAATTACATCAAACAAGGGGCTGTGCTGCTTCAACAAGGAAAAAGATTAGAAGTAGTTCCAAGATTAAATGCCATGCAGTGTTTCTATCATTTCAGTGCTAATGCTAAAATGCCAAAATCCTTCTTCCTGTAAATCAGTTCTGTCCTTAAAGAAAGTGCAACTTCTTAATTGATCTGAAAGAGCCTAAATTGAATTCAGAGAATATGGTTCTGTATTCTGGGATAAATTACCACCATGAAGAAATTAAAATTCCTTTTCTTCAGGTGATGGATTATGAGATGAGCACTCTGCAGTGCACCAGAAGAGAAGATGAGGAAGTCCCAAATAGTAATCATGGATGAGATAGCTTTAGGGCTGCATTTAATCCATTTACTATGAAACAAACAACTGTTCAGACCTCCAATTTCAAGAGAGTGGAATGGAGTGGAATGATTGCCTTGGTCTGCCAGAGTGCATTTACCTATATTGTTAACCAAGAAATAGGTAAAATCTCTGAAGCAGGTGATGTTTTGCTCTACTCTGCAGAGTTTAAGGGCTGTAGGAAGTACAGAATTGTGCCAGGAAAAGGCTTCTCAATCAGTGGTGACAGTATGGGGCAGGTGTCCTCTGCAAATGTGCTCGTACTTGTGTATACTCTGGTCTTGACTGTTTTCTAAATAAACTTAGATGTGACTGGAGAAACTGCTGTGCCCTATGGTAAAAATGCCACATCATTGTCATCTAGCTCTGATGTCTTATTTAGGGTGTGATGAAAGAAATAACGGGAAACTGATCCAGGTGGGGAAGGAAGGAACTTAAAGGAGAGCAATGAAAGATGGATTTATTAAGGGAGTAGGGGAAAAGTGTTATGTTGTGTTGAATGGATGGTATCGCTTTACGTCGTATGTGACTGGAAAGCAAAAAAATGCAAGCTTAACAAGTAGTTTTTCGACATTAGGAGGAAACTGTGCTTACGACTTCACGTGTCTTGGTTTTATCTTCTCATTTCAGATGCCCAGTACATCACCTGTAAGATGCAGAACTGCAGTGAAGCCTCACAAAACAAACCTTTTCCAGGCTACATTGACCATAACTCCCTGATCGTCCAGGATGACTATGTCTTCGTTCAGGTGTGGAGCAACCTCTTATTTATTCTGTTATTTTATATTTTGTTATTTTCTCCTACCTCCCTCTGCATACATGTGCGTATGTATTAACCCCCAACTAATCTGACAAGACTAGATCCATAGCAAGGGCACTGGGTGGATTGTAGCAGCTCATTACAATGCTAATAGAGTTTTTCTACCTCTAGTATCTTGTCAGTGGAAGGTCTTAGAGTTCCTGCCTGTAGCATCCACCGTGGGTACTGGAGTAATCCTCTATGCCTCTCCTGCAGTCTCATCAGCACTCTCGGATTAGTGTTCTCACCTCCCAGCTTGAAGTGACATGTCAGTCATCTTCTATTGCAAGGGCAGTAGAGCAAACTTTTTTAAAGCACAAGAGAGAAACAGAAAAGAGAAGGAGGGAGTCAGGGGAAGAACCACAGAAGGAGTAATCAGGCTTTATTGTTATGCTTCAGTTGTGATTATACAAAAAAGGCTGAAGATGAGACATACTTAGCCAAGCTGTTTTTCAGGTGAGAGCTGGAGAACAGATCTGAACTGCTGTACATTTCATTAGTCTGCTGCCAGGGTCCATTTAATAACAGTGGAAAAGGACAAAAAATAATAACAGAATTGCAGAGAGTGTGGAGGTGAACTGGAAATCATTAGGACTAAACTGGTTTTCCAGACTGTTAATATTCTGTCATACTTGGGGGTGGAGGGAAGAGAAAGGATTGATATTTTAAATTGAATTAGTCGATTGCTAATTACCTTCAGTTAATGAACTCAATCATAAACAGCCATCTAAATCATCCACAAATAGATCTGGAACATACGTTCCAGAATAGCTTTTGTGCCTTTATGTGTCTGAGGTGTAAATAAAATGTTTATGAGGTAAGGAAAACAGGGGCATGCATCACTGTTCAGACTTGCTCTCTAATTTCCGAATGGCTGTATGTGTGTGTATGTGACATGACTGAAACAGGAGCTGGGAAGTTTCTCTTTCTATCTGAAATTATTCATTGCTTCGTCACTGACTCCTTGGTTTTTGCTCTTTTCATGTCTTCTCTGTACTGACCTGATTTTATTACACGCTAAACAGAAGTTAATTCTTTTGTCCCATCTGAAGCCATTTGAAATCATCTGAATTCTGACAGCCTTTGTACCTTGGTGCTTTCAACTTTCTGTCTATAAACTGTTGTGCAGTTTTCCTAGAGCTGTAAAATTTCTTTGTGTCACTTCAGTGCTGACTTCATGGTAGAGGAAGGAGAATGAGGACAGGCAATCACTTACAACCTTCTCTCTAATGCTCTGTTGGACTTTGCCCAACGTTAACAGGTCAAAGAGATAATATTTGCCAGTCAGTAATGGTTGACACTTACAAATACAAAATAAAAATATTTTAATTCTTGGAAACAATCTCTTCTTTGATCCTAATTGTTGGTGAATTCACAGTTAACTGGTAAGTGTAAAATAGCAATCTTCAAGTGGTTATATACGGGATGTATCTGTAAGGAATAAAGCACAGAACTGCTAAATGAAATGCTGCGACTGATGTTGGATTTTGACGTACTGCAGACACTATTCTTCAGAGGAGGAATAACCTCACACCAGACAGTGAAGAGGCTGGGAGAATAAAGGAATGCCTGAAAGCCCTCCCCAGCCTTCCCTACCTTGATCTCCATCTGGCTTTTTGGCAACCAAGCCATTTGCAATGAGAATAATTGTTTCTAAAGCATGAGAATAAGGAAAAGTGGGCTCATTTTTCTGTAGCACTGTCTTTTTTAGAAGCACACACTTGCTCATAAACAGTGCTTCTAGCCTTCCTTCCCCTAACTTTTGATTAATTCCTTAAAAAAAAAAAAAAAAAAAAAAAAAAAAAAAAAAAAAGGTGAAGAGCTTTAAAATAAGTAGTTCTTATTTTTACTTAATCTGGTATGATCTTAGCCTCTGTGGCTCTTCCATTTTAAACTACTGCAGTGTGCTTTAAAACACTATGAAAAAAAACCAGCTTGATAAGCCTAGGTAGCAGGCAATTAAAGCACAGTTCTGCGTGGAGAGTCCCTTGGAATATTTGTTCTTCAGTATCGTTCATCCATGGATTTCAAAGCACTTTACAAACATTGATTATGCTTCAGTAACTAACATCGTCAGCTGTTTTTTTAACCCCTCATTAATAGGTGGTGGAAAATGAAACCACATGCTGCTTTAACCCAGTCTTGCTATTTAGGCACTTAAATGTGAAGACAGAAATGGAAATCAAGCATCATGTCTGCCAATCAGCTGCTCCAACCAATAATTCACGTAGCAGCTATGCAAATAACAAAGAACAGGTTGTTTTGTGTTGAGAGAAGAGCAGGAATCAGCAGAGAACATAATGGCCTAAGTGAAGCCAAGGCTTCACCTTCCCCAGACTTTCAGATGAAATTCTAGCCCTTGCTTCTCTTTGCAGAAAATAGCATTTCTCTTACTCTCTCTTTTTCAGCCGCTCTCAGCGGTTATTCAGTACCCATAACATGACTGCAGCTTTTAACCACTGCCATGAACTCTGTGATGTTTGCCTTAGGAGGTTTTGCTTGATGTTTTCACCATTAATTAAAAAAACATTTCAAATAATGCTGAAGGTAAATTTGCTGCTTTTCTTGTAGGTGACATCAGGTGGAAGACCGCATTATTATGTTTCTTATAGGAGGAATGCATTTACACCGATAAAGCTGCCAAAGTACTCCTTGCCCAAGGTAAGTTGTTGCTGGAATGCCCATATGTACCTACAGATTTTCTATTTGTTCAGAAATAATTGAAAACAATACAAGTAACAACAAGATGATATGCAGTGAGTGAAAGCATCATTGATTAGAAGAGAATTTGCAAGCAAGAAAGACTCAAGTTCACCGTGTTGCCTTGTCAAGAACATCAGCATGAAATACAGACAGATTACCGCAGCCTATGTCAATTATAATTACTTTATGGTTAGTCAAATGAATTTTGGAGGAACTCCTTCCCCCCCCCCCCCTTCCTTCTTTTCCCCTTCCTTTTCTCTTTCCTTTTCTAGGGGTCAGGGCAGGGATGTAAAATCCCGTGATGTGTGATTCTTTTGTTTTTTTTTCTTTTTTCTTTTTTTTTTTTTCTGATTTGCCTCATTAGCAGATTTTAATGGGAATCAAGAAAAGGGATGGCTTTGTGTGTCTGCTCCATATCCTCCCTAATTAAGAACAATGGTGAATTAGCACTGGAGCTTGAAAGGCTATTGCTGCCTTCTGAAGCTGGATTTCTTTAAAAAGACTATTATAAAATGTTGGCTCTATTTTGGAAAAATCACCTTTTTGCAGCTGGAGTCCTAACAGTTTCTTAACAGAGAAAAATATCTTTTTAAAAAACTCTTTTCATTCTTATTATAGGCTGGCTTAAATGAAATCTAAGTTCAAAGTTAGAAAATTACTTTGTGAACTATGTGTAACATCTAGCATCTGCAGAAAAATGATAATCCCCGGTTAATTTTTGGGAATGCAAAAAGAGAAAAAAGAAAGTGCTCAGCCAGCTCGTTCCTGGAAGTTGAAAGTACGTCACTATTTGTAAATGCAAATATTCAAGGGGATCATTTGGCTATTGTCACAGCTGGCTGTCTTTGATTCCTCACTCCAACAGACCTGTTTAGAGTGCACTGAGTGGGTAACTTTCATCATATAACCAGATAGCAGCTCAAACACATTGTTTTCAGTGCCATACCTTGTATACTCTGCTGTTCTGCTTTGCTTGAATGGCCTCAAAACCCAAGATCTTAGGATTCTGGGGACACTATCGGAAGTCATGATCTCTTTTTGGCTGTGCCACAGGAGAACTGACTATGAAATGTGACTTCAGTAAATTGTTTCAGCCAAAGAAAAATACTTTTTTTTTTTTTTTTTTTTTTTTTAGAAGATACATAGATTTGTAGATTGAAACCCAGTATACTTCTTTCTACAGTCCCAGACAAACTTTGGATTTTTTGTGAGACCTGAAATCCTGGCTGCCACAAAATTTTCAGGCATGTTTGAAGATAACTTACTCTAAGATAAGATTACTCTAAGGCAGTTTGAAACTTTGTGTGCAAGTGGAAAAGAATTACTCTGTCAGTTTAGATAGAGTTTAAGCAGGTGTAATATCAAGTAGTCCTTAGCAAATGAATTGGATTTTTAGGATGGATACTGTAATACCTAAATTAAAATAATTTACAGTTGATTCAGACTGTCTGTAGCAAGACTGCTTGCTTTGAGCAAGTACACTTATTTCTCCAATTGTCCAACTCAATGAAAAGTCTGGAGAACCAAGAAAAAATACTGTGATTACATTTCCATGTGTTCTCAGAGAGTAGGAATAGGAGCAATATGTTCATGCTATTTGACCCAAGGAAAAAAGCAGATATTTAAGGAGATAAGACACTTTGTCAGAAACTGGGAATGTCTTCAAAGACTGAAAAACCCTTTTTGGCTTGGAGGGAGCTACAGTGGATCTGTGGTTGTCTGGTAGTTTGGTATCAAAGCAAGATAGCTGCTTTTATTAAAAATGCACAAAGCACTATATTATTCAAAGGCATTGAAACAAACAGCTTCTTTTATGCCTAAATTCTCTTTTATCTCCTTCAGCTAAGAAAGTGGGGCCAAGTATGGTAAACAGTACTAAGTCGCTACTGGAATTGAAGATAGAAATGTCAAACTTTTTGCCTCTGTATGTTACTCCTAATCTGGAGGGATGTGATGGCAGGCAGTTTTGGCAGGTGATACCATTATTCAGGCAGGAATGGGCTATAACAAATTAAATCTATAATTTTCTTGCTGTTGTAATTTATATTCTGGTAACCAATTCTATTAGAAGCCTGAATGAACCTGAAACTGTTTCCAGTACAGGCATATGTCTAACTTGTACATGAGGTTGTGTAAACCCTGTGAATGGTATTTACTGAAATCTGTTAATTTCTGCAGTGAGGTTGGTGTCTGTCATAGACTCTGTATTGTCACTCATGATAGTCACCTTGAATGTGTAGAAACAGTGCTCAAATTCACTCAATTTTAGGTCAATCTACTGGGCAGGCATCTCTGAATACAGAATTGAGCCAAGCAATTTCTCTTTAAAAAAGGCTTGTCCCTTAATCTGGTGCTAGGCTAAATACTGATGGGGTAGGTGTTTGTGGTACCAAACCACAAACCACAAGAAAGTCATGAAATACAAACCTTAACAACAACTGACAAATGAAATAATTGATGGGATAAAACAGGCAATACACATTCCTGCTAATTAAATTGCCAGGAAGAAAAGTTCCCTGACCAAGTGCAAAAAAGGACAACTGGAGCATGTTTGGTGATTCAAAGAGCCCTGGCCTTTAGTCATTTGAGTAACTGATCAAATGCATGCACAAAATCATGCTCTTACTTTGTCTTTGGAAAGTCAAAAAGGACAGATAATAAAACTGTATCAGTATGCTGATTTCCTTTTTTATTTTTACCAATGTGAAAACTAACAAATCCCTGACGTTGTTCAAAGATGTGTTGGATTCCTATGTATTGAATCCCTTCAATCAAGCCATTACATTATACCAGAGTCTGTTGGACAAGTCCGTGTTAAGTAGTTGACTGATCCACAAAAGCAATCAGTTGGAACACTTGTTTCCTTTGTACATGCACTACATATATTATACCATTTCTTTCTCAGTCTTTGTTTGTCTAGGCTTAAATTCCTTGAGCCCATGATCTTAGACTCTGATATTATAGCATGTTCTGATCAAAACTCAGGAAGAATGTACTGAATGGATTAACTATTTGCTTCTTAAACTTATGTGAAATTGCCTTTGATTTTCCCTGATGTTCATTAGAATATCTTTTCACCTTTAAGTAGAGAGATCTGTCCTTGTGTATGAACACATATTTGAAAGTTTGAGCTTGGAACTGCAGCTGTGCCATCTGAAACTGCCTGAAGCACATTGTGATCATCTACTCATGTAGCTCTACCGGAAGATCAACTAGGATGATAATGTGAAATGGGGAACCTCTGACAAACAGCTGTGGCAGTTACTTCTACCATTACAGCTGGAGCTCAGAGAGAATATCTGTTCACAACCACAATCAATCAAACCCAATGGAACTTATTTTGCATTTCTGGTTGCCTCAGATTTTAACCCAATCTGTTCCTCTACAAACCTAGCTCATCTTCTGGGATACATTTTTCTCCAGTACAAAGAAGCAGGTAAACCAGGTGAACATTCATCTGCACAGATCTGGATCTGAGTCAACCTTTCTGAATCTTAACTTTATAGTGAATCCACTTTGAAATTTATAAGTCAGATTTTTTCCCTCTATTATTTTTTCGTTTTTATACCATAAGGCTCAATATGCAATTATTTTTCCCCCCCTACAAATCAGCAAGAAAATTGTCAAAGACTATTATATTAACAGAGGAAGAAGTAGCATCCACTTCCAAAGAATGTATTTTCTGATGGAGTCCCAGTTTTGCATATACGTCAAAAGTACTGGCTGAGATCCATGGATGCAAAATAGCTTAGGGATAACTGCCCAAAGCATAGAGCTGAATCTTCAGGGAATCACCTACTGCTAAGAAATCTGCATTTCTTGTCCTATCTCCATGGATTTGTAAGGCATGAGGAACTCAGCCCTCCTGTACCGGGCAGATAGAGCCTTGGAATTTCATTATAACTATCTCTCAGTGGCTTTTTTCACTGGATAATTTCTCCAGGCATCGAAAGAGAGGTTCAGGTTTAAGAGATTATTAGTTTGTTGTTTTTTTTTTTTTTTAATTATGCACTCATTTCATTACTTCCTGCCTACTGTAACACAGAGCAAATAAAGAAAAATAAAGCATCACTCATAACATGTGTGATCTAACTACAGTTTTGCTCCTTACATCTAGTGAGAATTAGGGTTGTCTCTCTGTCGTATTGCTGGAGAGGAGTTTATCACAGTGGTCTAGGGCCTTGACTCATAGATGGCACAGTCATTAGTAATAATAAACAACAGCAACACTGGCTGCCAATTAGATCCCCCGTCAGCTCTCAAGCATACTTGGTTTCTGAGAGATAGAAGGCAAGAGGCAGATGTTCCTGATGTTTTTTTTTCTTCATTTTTTAATTTCTTTAAAAAACATATTTTAAAGTGTTATTAACAACTGTGATTCTACAATCACAAGTAGTATTGCTTAAACACAAAATAAATAAATAAATAAAGCAAACAAAAAAATCACCTCAAACCAAGTACTAATTAAAATTTTGGTAGGGGAAGCAAAGTGCTGCTGTATAACGCTCTGTTGCCAAAGTGAATGTTCAATTAACACCTCATCAGTTAATTACTGCTTTGAAAACTGGCAGTAGAGTGCTGCTGTGAAATATTTCTGGATGGAATTCTCTGCTTACAGAAATGTTGTCTACAGTTTTCAATTAAACTCCAGTCTAAAATATATCCTTTGCTTCTCCACAGTTTCCGTGATGCCCTTGGGAATGACAGAGCAGAGCTCCCTCTTGTAACATGCATTTGCTTTCTTTCCTCAGGACATGCATGTTATCAGCACAGATGAGAGTCAGGTGTTTGCAGCTGTTCAAGAGTGGAACCAGAACGACACATACAATCTGTATATCTCTGACACCCGAGGGGTGTATTTCACCCTGGCATTGGAAAACGTCAAGAGTAGTCAAGGTTTGGATGGGAATGTGATGATTGACCTCTATGAGGTATGTCATGACTCTAAATTTTTCATTCTTACCTACAAACTCATGTGACATCCAGTTCCATTGTGTTCTTACACATCAGTCTCATAGAATGTATGAAAATAGCAGAGCCAAAGCTGAACACATTTTTATCCTTCTTTTAAACGAGGACCTCAGTGCAAGCACAGCAGGTTCAAGCCAGGCTACGCAAGTGTTGAAACTAATTCCAGCCTAGTAGTATGAAGAAATTCATTACTGTGCTCTCCAGTAGGTTCTCAGGTGAGGAAAATCTCGTGTCTATGCAGAAGGATATGCATTAGAAGAAGTAGCTGAATAGTTCACTACGTTCCAACAAGAAGCTTTCTCAGCCAAAATCCTGCTGACACAAACAAATCAAGCCTCTGATCCACATTGTTCCAGTCTTTGGTTCATAAGGCTCCCAGCTCTGTGATCAGCATCATTCTGCAATTCTGCCATTTTCATTGCATTTTTGAAAGCCTAAGCTCTTGTGGTAGAAGGAATTAGAGACTGTAGTTTTCAGCTGTCTTTGTTGCCTTCTGCTGCTTGATCTATTCTGAGAACAGAAATTTAAGTAATCACTCCTGAGCTATCCCATGAGCATGGATACTCTCCTTCTTCATGTTAATGTTTTCTTTATCCTGATCCTAGCAGGTACGTTCTGTCTAAGCTCACCTGTAAGAAGGCTAATTTACATTGTCTTCTGTGACAACTGATCCTGAGAATAGAACTTGTAACACACTCTTGTACTTCTCTTGGCCTGACAGCAGTCTTATTTCTGGATACAGCTGATTAGAAATTCAATGCTCCATTGCTAATTTTGGGGTCTAATTTTGCTACTCTTTCCAGATCTCTTCCAGAAGTCTTTATGACCATTTAGAACAAAGGCTATGAACTAGTTCTGAGTTCCTTTAAAAATGGAAATGCTCCCTGTATTTCCCATCACTGAATACTAGCTCTACTGAATAGTTCGCCTTCAGCTGTCCTTTACTTGGAAACCACCTTGAATTGTCAAGACAGAGCCCAAGCACTGTACATAAATTCGGGTGAATTGCAGGAGGATGGGCATTGTCATTTCCCAGTCATTTGGAGTTTTTACTGTTAATGTCTCTGCAATGCTGGCAGTGCATGGAAAGGCTGTTACCTCTTATTACTGTCAGCTCCAGAAGTGGTTTCACTTCATTATGTAAAAGGGTCCTACATCCCAGTGGAGGGAGAAAAGCCTTTGTTTTGTTTTATTAGACTGACACTACACAGTAACCAGGATTGAAAGTGATGAAATCAGACTTGTAGCATCATATCTGTTGATTATTTAGATAGAAAGAATATTGACTGGCACCGAACCTGGCACAAAACTTCAATTTGATGTTCTAGCTGGAAGGGAACAGAAAGCCATCCAGCATGATTCTCCCAGCAGAGTTATTGCAAATGATGAGTGCTTCAGGGGTACATGGAGATGAAGATCAGAAAAGAAAAAAAAAAATCCATAGATAAATTAAAAGGAAGAGAAGAAATTGCAAAATGAGTCCTCCTTTTGTGACAGCAGTTTATATGGAAAAGAAGGATTACTTGAGAAGATGCCAGAAAATCTCCTGTTTAATGTGTATGTGTCTGTATGCTTATGTTTACCAGGTATTAAAAAATAATTTTACCGGTTACGTTGTGGAGAAGGTGTTTCTGTATGCACGTTCCTAATGCAGTTCTACATCAGCAATAAATCTTTTCAGTGGGAAATTACATTGGACTTGATGAGAAAATAGAAGTTCTTCCCTTGTGCCTCATCGTGTTCTCCTTTCTTTTCTCCTGGAGGAATGCTCCCTGGAGCCTTTCACTGGGAGACAGTTTTTTCAGGGTGTTGGCTGTTCTGCTGCTGGATGTTGTAGGGGATGAGGAGGCCACTACCACTGGGACACTAATTCGCTTTCTACATGTTGGACTGTGTAGGCTATGAGAATAGTTCTCCTTATCACCTTCCAGTGCTGGTGCATCAATAGGACACTGGACTGCAGTTCCAGGGGTATTGCCCTAGAGATCATACCCTAGAAGAAGGAAAGAGTGAGAGTTGCTGACCAGTGGGTTCTCTTTTTTCTTATCAATGCACTTCTCTAAATGATGCGGTATTGCTCTGCTTGGCTCTTCAGCAGGAATGTTCTGCATCAAGACAATGCTGCCTGTAAGCATCACTGAAAGCATAGGCAGCATTTATATCTACATGCAGTGCTTGTGAGGGTGGGGGGGATTGCCTACAAAGCCTGGGAATACAGACCCAGTGCTTATTTTTCTGAACACTGCTGTTCAAGCCCTTACTTGCATAGCTCTGTCTCCATTGTGACTGCATGGAAAGATCATCATGTCTGTCATGGATGCGTATACGCAACAGGTGCATCTCTTCCTACAGAAAGCACACAAACATTTACACTGTGTGCAGTTGTTGTTTCTTAAAGATAGAGCTGTCCCAGGTTGACAGCAAAACTTACACTTTGCTTTCTCTAGAAAGCATTTTGAGTTTCAGCCTAGGAGTAGAATCATAACAAGAAAAATTCATAGGATTTCAGAACACATTTATCAACTCATATATAAAATGCTTTTTAATCATTTATAGCTAGCATTTCACAGGGACTACATAATACAACTATTTCAGGACAACAGCAAAGAAAAGTACAAACAGAGCTATAGGCACTGACCTGTGGTGAGAAAGCCAGAACGATGTTATTTTTCCAACTCTGACTATTCATACAATTTCACTGATAGAGGAGAAAGCCCTGTCTCATTGGGCTGCCTTTCTACTACAGAACAAAGAAAACTTGAATAGTTTGTGCATCAAAACAACCCAGATCAGACATTGAAAATATGATCTTTTTTACATTTAAATCAACAATAACTAACTAAATTACTTAATTTAAAGGCTATTGCCCATTATAGCAAATCATATCTAAGTTTTTATCAACATAAAATTCAGTGTCATTACTCAGGGATGAAAGTACTATTCAGAATGAATAAGTACACCACTGTACTGTACCAGTGGACTATACAGTAGTAGTCCCATGGCATGTGACTAGAAGTGCAGTAAGGTCCTATTGACTGGGAATAGTAGCATCCAAATATACCCATGTAATTAAATCAGTTGAGCTGGAACAAATTTTGAATTTGCTGAGTAACCATTTGCCACATGATGCTATTTATGTAATAATCTCTGTCAGCAAAAAGGCTTGATTGATGATTCCGTGCACCACTTTTGCAGAAGAAGAAAAGATGGAGTGTATGATTGAACAGATTTGATGAAAAACAAGAAGTTTCTGAGTTTCCCCTCACCTTCTCCCGATTTCCCTTTGCTTCTAATTGTAGCACTCAGATTACAGAATGACAGCCTAACAAATTCATTTGCAAGCAGCAATAGCTACTGGGCTATTGATTTTCAATGTGCTAAGAAGTTGGGAACATTCTGCAATGTGAGTTGTGGTTTGAGGTTGACTTTTTTTCTTCCTACTAAGGCACTCTTGGTTCAATTCCAATTTGAGTTCGTCAGCATAGCATCTTTCCAAAATTTTCCTGCAGACCAATGGAGTAAAGCTGTTGAATAAAATGCTGGGAAGAATAAAAAGATGAGAATCTCGTTCTATAACTAGCATAGGGAGGCCTTTTTGAGTCACTGGTGCTTCAGTTTCTTCTGAAAACAAAGCTGGTCCTATCCAGCTACCTGTTAATTTCTTTACAGAGGGAGTGGTGAGGTGCTGGAACAGGCTGCCCAGAGAGGTTGAGGATGCCCCGTCCCTGGAGGTGTTCAAAGCCAGATTGGATGGGGCCCTGGGCAACCTGGTCTAGGATTAAATGGAAAGGGTTGCTGTCCCTGCGTGTGGCAGGAGTATTTGGAGATTCACTATCTTTGAGGTCCCTTCCAACCCTGGCCATTCTGTGATACCCCAACTTACTCTATTGAAACACTGATAATTGTAGAGTGCACAGAGATCCTTAGATAAAATGTCTTAAGCAGACTGTGTGAGAACAGAAGCACTAAACAACAAATGTGTGTGCATGTTGTCATTTTCTCTGCAAGGTCTCTGCTGCTGTTTCCTGCTACTGCATGCAAGAGAGAAATAATTTCCCTGTGTATATTTAAACTTTCAGGGGAAAGGATATCTATCCAGTTGAACAGCTGTCACTTTACAGTTAACTCTGTTGATGTCTTACCATATTCTTATGCTGCTTCTGGCTTTTTCTTCCACTTGCATTTCTTCACATATGATGCTCCTTGGCATTTCTTGCCACAACATCTATCGCATTCATACAACCACAAGATATTTGTTGGGTTTAACAGGGCAGGAAAGTCGCATTCAGAGAAACTGTATGGACTTGATCTATTTTTCAGCCATGTCAATTTTTCCTAGGTAGCAGGGATAAAGGGAATGTTCTTGGCTAACAAGAAGATTGACAACCAAGTGAAAACTTTCATCACCTACAATAAAGGGAGAGACTGGAATTTGTTGCAGGCTCCAGACACTGATCTGAAAGGAAACCCTGTTCACTGTCTCCTGGTAAGTATCTGGGGGGATTTGAGGTGTACTAAGAACCCAGAACAGTCTTTTTCTGCCAGGTAACATAGGGGAGGACCTCTCTCCCCGTGCAGCGTAGCTCATGGAAGGAGCATTGAGTTTTAAAACTGTGGTACATCAGGCTTGGTCGGCCAGATGGTGTAGTTGGCATTGTAATTTAATTTAGGTTAATCTAATTTCTGGAACAAAATGAAGCATCATAGATCTGCTTCCTTCTGCACAACTGATTGTCTCCTGCTAAACAGCATGAGAAGCTGGATGCTGTTTTTGAGCAGTTGGTTCTCTGGACACTAGATGGGAGGAGTGAGCTATTGTACTGCAGAACTTTCAAGAGCCCTGACAACTTGAGACAGGCTCAAGTAGAAAGAGAACTGTTTTTTTTTCACGCCATTTTATTGGCCCTCTATTGGTATTTTAATTTTGAGATCAAAAGTTAGAATTGACATATTCACACAAATGTACGAATAGCTGTGCGTTTAATATATCTGTCTGTATTAATTGATATAGGTCAACATATAGATAAATCTTTAATAGTCATTATATGCAAAGGATTTCTAAAATAGAAAGTGAAACACTGAGTGGATAGAATTGGAGCTCTATGTCAAATCAGATAGCTTAGCCTGATCTCCACATACTTCTCAGCTTATTCTGTAGCGGAATAATACTCTGAACTGCAGTCTTGGAGATTTTCAAGAATTTTTATAGTAAAAAAAAAAAAAAAAATCTAACATAGTTCCATGGTCATTACTTAGACTGCTCTTCCTCCTTGTTGTGCTCTTCCTGCATGCTATTTTCTATTGAAAGAAAAAAAAGTGATGTTTTTCACGTTGAGGCTGTAAGTTAGTATCAGCTTTGCCTTTTATTTATTCTGGTATGTAGCTGAATACTGTGCCAATCTCTGAACTGAAACCTATATATTATTGCTGTAACTAACCTGATATTTGAAGCTGTTTAAATAATTGATCTTTTTGATAGAGCAAAAATTCAAGCCTTTAATTTTCTCTCTGATTTGGAACAAAATAAATAGGGGTGAACTGGTGGCCAAGAAACAAAGTTATCTCAGAATGTGACTAAACTTGCTTGGGTTTGTTTTCTTCTTCCAACTTTTTTAAAAAATGTGTCTAGGGGCATTTTTAAATTAAACCTTTCAGTGAGATGAAAACTTAAAAGATGGCATTTACTGAACTACGTAGACATAAAACAATTTAATTTTTGCAAGGGAGTATGTGTAGAAACCTTTGTCTTTTAAATAGATTGTAACTTAGTTTTAACTCAAGTGAACATATTTTGTGAAATAAATGTGACTTTTTCAGATTATTGACAGTTTTGTCAGAATCCCAAGATTTTCATGTTGGTAGTGTAATATTTAGGAGACTAGAGAGACACAAGAGGAATAAGAAAAACATGCAGGCAGTGGAATAATCAAAGTAAACTCTATTCTTTTTCCATGAAGAGGCAAATCCTCAATGGACTTAAACTGTGTAGCTGAGGGTTTGTTATTCCCAAAGAAGTCTCATCCCTGTGATAAGGCCCAGTGTTTACCCATGTGTTTGTTTTTTTTTCTCTCCCTTTGATTTCAGTTAGAAATAGACAAGAGACCTCTTTCATTATCTTGCCAGTGCCTCCTTTGTGCTTAGGTGGGTTCCCACAGACTAGTGGAATGGTAGCAGAGTAGAATTATCAGCTGGGAATAAAGGATCTCAGATGGTTGTCTTCTAAATTTGCAAGAAAGGAGATAGATGAATCTATAGATGATAGATGATCTAGAAGTTGTAAATGCCTGGAAATAAGTCTGGTATCCATACAGGGGTTTTGCTCTGGAAAACCATTGAGAAAATATATTGTCTTCTGCTGAGGCAATTCTGTTCCTCATCTATATGACATAGTTATAGTACTTAAACAATTCACAAGCTCGTCTCACTTCTGAAGCCCCACTCTCTCTACATCTGCATCATCTGCAGTTTCATTTCCTTGTATCAGTTGGTCCTTTTCCCTCCAGATATTTCGGTTCCTTGCCATGATCTTTCTTGATCCTATGGTATAGACAAGTGAATTCCTAATAGTGTCTTGTAAGTCTGGCTTAGCTTCCATCATTACTTCAGGATAGATAGTAACGCTTTCACACTGACAGCTTTCAGAATAATTGTTCCTAGCTACAGCTTGGAACACAGTGTTCAGAGATGTACATCTCAGCTACTGGCAGAATGGGATCTGCCCTTTCCCAGAGTTACTGGATGGTCTCAGCCTGAGAGCAGAATGTTATCCTGTATACATCTGTTCTTAAAACCTCAGCCTAAATTAAGGGAGTGTTAACGCAGAAATAAGTATGTAGAAGCTAAGTTGGCAGCTAAAGAGGTTAAGAGGGAATCTGGTTGAAACACAACAGAAACCAGACAGAGCTATTCCTCTACTGACAGTAAGCACAAGGGCTCTTTTCAAAGCATGTCAAAGAATTTATTTGTGTTTCTTTATGAGGTTGGTCTGAATAATGAGGATGGAGGAATGCAATGAAATTCCCCCTGAGCCTGAAGTTTATTTTTCTTGTTTGTACCACTTACTTTCTAGGCTGAATACATTTAATCTTCATAAAATAACTGCCAAGTTATTACATCCCAAAGATGCTGATTTTGTTTGATTCTTATGCTGTGAAGTAGTTAACTGAGGAGTAATTCTACCTTGCACGTTATGGGCAACTGTCTAGGAGAGTTATCCAATTAGCTTTTGAGTATGGCCTTGTGGTTAAAACACTGGGCTGAATCTTAGGAGAATCTTGATTCAATTTTTAGGTCTATCTCCAATTTTCTATCTGACCTTGAGCAAGTCATTTATTTTCTATGTGCCTTTCTTCCTCAGACATCTGTTTATTCCCTCTTTAGTTTTGGTTGTCTTGTCTGTACGGATTATAAGGATTTCAGAACAACGACCCATTTTTCATAAGTGGGAAGGCATTCACACCATCTGCCACAGAGTCATTTAAACATCTAAGTGAGGTGTTCTGAGTATCCCTTATGGAAGTGCTTTCTCTTTTAATTGCTCCTTGCAACTGCAGGTGTGCAAATACTGTGACTGCCTCTAGGTTTCTAGATATTGTCTAGCATTATCCTTGTGTTGCAGTACTCGGCCCCACTCCTGACCAGGGGCTATCAGTACAGACATACAAGGAGTGCTATCTTCTCTATGGAACATGATTGGTATGGGGAATTCTTTTGGGCCTCCTTGCAAGATAGAATGGATTTTATACATATAAAGTGTTTGTCTGGAAAGGAAAAGTTGTTTTTAACAGTGCAGCTAGTTGTCACTTGAGTCTCTACCCAGCGCTGCACTCTGACCAGTAAAAAGTCATGCTACTAGAAGCACTCTCTCCTCTTGGATGTTCTAGCTTTTAGTCTTGGGAGTTGGAAATAGATGATGGGGACTTGGATAATCATTAAGATATTTTCCAATCTAAGCCATTCTGTGATTTTTATGTTCTACTTAATATTTGATGTATATATTCCACTTCTGTCTACTGTATGTGTGAAGTGCTACAAATTTGAGAGAAAATTTCTGGTAATACAAAAATCTGAGTCTAACAAGATCAAATTTCTGTCAGACTGGGGGAATTGGCTGAATTGCTGCTATTAGCTATTGTCTTGAAAATGCTGAGGTGGACTTGCAGCACATTAGTTTTAAAAATATGTTCTGTATCTAGACTAATAAAAGGGAAGAATTCATTCCCTCCTAATGCTTTCCCACTTCTGAATGTGCGTCAGCTTGATTTGGTTCCCACTCCCTCTCCATGCCCCAGGCTGCTCCAGCAGCTGTCGTTGCAAGGCTGTCACTTGGAGTTAACTTCTCAGTGCATTCCACTTGGCAGGCTGTGCTCCCTTCTGCACCACCCTGCGTTCCTTTTTCCTGTCTCTCATACACAACAGAGATCCGTCAATCCTTACCATCCTCATTCACCTTTGAAAACAAAAACAAAAACAAAAAAACCCACACATCCCAAAACTGCTTTTTGTGGTTATCCTTACCCACAGCATGATACTCATTTTCTCCTACCTGGAGATGGGATATATCAGTGGTCGTCTTCCAGTGACTGCAGAGGAAGCCTACAAAATTTATGAGGCTGGACACCTAGCATTTAGGTAAACAATGTAAAAGAGAGACCTGCCTCCCTGAAGCCTACAGGGCTTTCTGCATAGCATCCTGCTTGTCTGGAAGCCATGCTAGCTGAAGCATATGTTTTGCTGTGTTTGCATTCCCATACTGTCTGATGTCCCCCTCAATTTGGTGAGCTTGCTTCAGCTTTCCTTGCCAGTATTTTTCCCTTTCCTTTCCGTTAGCCTGTTTCCTGAGGTTTGGAAACAAAAAGGCTGAAAAAAAAAAACAAAAACAAAAAACTAAGAAAAAGCAAAAAAATCAGATTTTTTCAAAAATTATTTCACTGTAGATTTGGAGAGGTCATAATGGCAACTTTGGGAATCTGCCTGTTTGTCCATCTTATCTCCTTGCTCCGCTGATTTATTCTGTACCATTCCTGTTTGATTTGAGTACCTGAGATACAAAATCAATAACAAATAGGTAAGGTTTGTACAGATGTACTTGTATTGAAATCTCAAAGGTCACATAAAGATGGGGTGATGAAATATTTTATGAAATAACTGTTAAACTGACAATTTCAAGTTCTGATATTTCTTTCTAGTGCAGTGCAGAACAGAGCCATGTGTCAGAAGTATTCAGGGTCAAGACATGGTCTGACACTCCCTGAATGAAGTTGTTTCTTATGGCTTACAAGTGGTGACTCAGCACCACGCTGACAGGGCAATATTGCAGAGATAGCTTGAGCACTGCTGCCTGGTGAGTCGCTTCAGCATATTTGTAACCTTGCTTGCTTCTCATGACAGCCAACAGTTGGAGGAGCGAGGTACTGCTTACCATTACCTGCCCTTGCAGTTTTCATTGCATCCTTTGTGAGTACAGCCTCGAAGATCTCATCTTTGTGAGAGTTTCAGTCTAAAGAATCAGTTTCCCAGTGGGAAAGGTTTGCATTGGGAAAGGACAGCAAAAATCTCACAAGACAAGCAGAGCAGTGGCCTTGTCTTTCAGAGGGTAGCTTGATACAGTAGTTAGGAAATAGTATTTGGCTATCTTAATAGTAACTGTTGATATCCTATGCCCATACAATATCCTATGCACAAAGGCCTGTAGAAATGGGAGCATATGCTTTGTGTTGTGTCTGCTTTTTCACTTTAATCTCTCCTTTCTCCATAGCCCTATTGCTCCCTTCATCTTCACCTGAAGGTCTCAGAGAATCCCTATACCTCAGGAAACATTGCCAGCAGAGACACTGCCCCCAGCATTATTGTTGCTTCAGGTATGAAACATTTAAAGAGTGCCTGTATTTGATGTGCAAACACTGAGGAAATCCTGAATGTGTGATGGATATGGAATATGGGTATGGAGTGGTCTGTGGGGTGTCACACTACCAGCAGGGCAGGCTGTCAGAAGTCTTCATGGACCTTCAATATATCATCTGATTTTTACAGAAGCTTACTTTCAGGACTGAGGAGATGATGTCTAACCTTATACTACCAAGAATATTAGATTCAAAACAGGGAATTTCTTTTATGCACAGGGTGCATAGATCTGTAAACAGTGTTAGTTTTTTCCTTGTTGTTTTTTTGGGGTTTTTTTTGACATGTATTTTCTTCAAACTGAAATTCTCTCTCTTTCTTTTATTTTTCCTTCCAAGACTAAAAATTACATAATTACAAAAGACTAATGAATATGTTTAATTCTCTGATTTGCTAATTCTGCTGTTTCTTAAATTTTTCTTCACTAATGTTCTACTTACAGGTAATATAGGCCCTGAACTATCAGACAATGATATCAGTATGTTTGTTTCTTCTGATGCTGGAAACACATGGAGACAGGTATGTGACAGAATCACAGGATTTAAGAGTAATTGTAGGGAACTGTCAAAGAGATATATTAAAAATGTTTCATTTTTTTTTCTTTTGATTCAAAATAGCTTTTTGCAAATCTACACAAAAGGGAATGTTTCTTTTCCCTGCTGAGAGGTACAGAAGTGCCCAAAGAAAAATATTGTGTGTGTCATTATGCATCATATAACAGAAAATTATTTTTATAATTCTATTCAGTTTGGCTTCAGTTTAACCCTCTAGCACAAAGGATTCTTTCTTTTCATCCATTATTATACTTTCCCAAGAATTAACAGTTACAGTGTTCTACTTCTCCCTCACTGTGCATGGGACTGGATAAAGTTAAATGATAATAATATTTAGTGGAATCCCACCTGATAACAAAACATTGCTACCCTGCTGCGTGTTTATCTGCAAAAAAAAGTAAGTTATATTATTCCCATTTCATAGATGGCATATTGTGTTACAGAAACCAGAAGTCACTTTCCCAGACTCACCATGCTGCTGCGAAAATTTGAGAGCATGAGAGCAGATGTTTGCATAAAGACAATGAAAAAAAAAAAAAAAAAAAAAAAAAAAATAGCTGTTTACATATTTGATAATCCAGGAAATTAATTTTTTTTCTTTACAGTGAGCAATCTTCATTTCCTTTCTCCCTCACTTTCATGTACTATGGCTAGATACGTACAAGCACAATATGTTCTTCTTTGAACAATGATCTGTTATCGAAAGGAGGAAAATTGTTGGTCCTTGCAAAAATTAGTGTTTCTAACTTTCTGCTAAGCAGAGATGCTTCTCAAGAACCTAGTGGGGGGGGGGGGGGGGGCCTGGTGGGAGCAGAAGGGCAGATATAAAAAAACAGAAACTCTCTATACACGTTGCCTTACTCCATTCAGTAACATCTTTAGTAAGTACTTACCATCTTTTGTGATCATATTTAAAAAACGATGACATTTTCTTTATACTAAAGAAAATAGATCTAAATATATGCTTTTTTTTTCTCAGATCTTTGAGGAAGAGCACAGTGTTCTGTACCTGGATCAAGGAGGAGTACTGGTTGCCATAAAACACACATCTCTGCCTATCAGACATCTCTGGTAATGACTCTGATTGTCCTAAATGTGATAGTCTGATACTCTTCCTTTCAAATGTCAGGAAGTAAGAAATCAAGCTGAAGCCACTGTTTTCTAGAAAATATCACTTCAGAAACTGACAAATGTGAACTCAGATAAAGCAAAGAAATCCTGGCAACTGCAGCTTAGATGGCTTCAACTTGGCCAGATCTTAGATACCATCAACACCACCAACATAATTCCTCATTGACTAAGACCTGGCTTCTTGAGTTTGGTTATTTATATAATATACAGTTTGGATTATAGCCTTTGCCTCTTACTGAGTTGCCCAAGTACTCATAGTTTTCAAAATTATTGATGAAATTGTCTTCTGCGTTGCAGACAGCACTTCTGAGCAAGAATTTTGTTGAAAAGCATCATGGTTTTGTAGCCAGTAAGACAAAATTGTCTCTTCTAGTTAGCATCCCTGAATTTATGTGGTAGGTAGAATATAGTTTTATGCTGTTTTGCATTGATTTACTGCCACTGCAGCAAGAGTCATATGGGTATCTAAACCACCCAGACCCAAGTAATGAGAAATAGTTCCAAGATTTTGCTTAGACCTACTACAGTGAAAAACTGCTGGTTAGAAGAGGCAAAGCTCTTGTGATCTGAAAATCACACTGCCTTAAAATGTCTTCGGTTGGGGACCGAATATTAAGTTTCTCAAAATTATTTGTGTATTTTAAATAAAATCACAGTGCTGGGCTACATTTTGTTCTTTAAGTTTCAATCTCTTAGGTATCTTTATTAGTTTCTCCCACTTAAGTACTGGCCTTGGCTGAGCAGTATAGTGCCAGAAAGCTTATCAATGCTCTGATTTATAACGCTGCCACCAAAATTAGATATTCCAAGGGCTAAAAATGCAATATTCAAGAACAGAATCTACCTTCTACTTCTCCATAGCAGCTGTAGTATCCCCCCAATTACAGTGAGAGAATAAGGAAAGAAGATATTAATTCTGCTTTCTCTATCAGGTTAAGTTTTGATGAAGGGAAATCCTGGAGCAAGTACAGTTTCACATCACTCCCACTGTTTGTAGATGGAATTTTAGGGGAACCTGGAGAGGAAACTCTTATCATGACGTAAGTGAGCATGCCATCATGCTAACATTAGCAGGAGCAACAACATGATAACCTTATGAGGATTGTTCACAGCAGAGTTTCTGGTTGGTGAACAAACCGAGTTCCAACTGAAACCAGAACCACGCAGTCTTCTGTTGCTAAATCATCAATGCTTATTTGTGATATTATTGAAAGAATGACAGTAAGATTCCTTGCAAGCTGCAAGCACATCATTTAGTTTACCAGCCTGAAACTCAACTCCTCAAATGGAATGTGATTTAAAGAAGAGTTACTCTTGACAGATGAATATTTAAAAGAAAAATGATGAAGTATTTTATAGCTGTGGTTTTGCTACTACTTTGTATTTTTAACCGAGGAACAGAAAAATGAAGACATTTTTTGTAAGAGTGAATGACAAAATGTTGCCTGGGGGCTGGCTCACAAAAAATTGTGATTAGTTTCAATGTGGTATGCTGAGAACTGCATTGTGCATAAATCTAGATTCACTCTGCCAGAAACTGTGACATTTTACTTGATATCAGGTTAGTAAAAGGAAGAAGAAAGTTAGTTTTCTGCCTATAAAAAATGAACTGACCTGTAATAAACAGAAAATCTGGTTTGAAAACTAACCTGAGCTAATAGAGATGTATGGAGAACAGTACCTTCAGGTTCTGATTTTAATTCTTGTGGAAATGATTCCCAAAGCTCATAATTAAAGATAACAAACTCTTGTAGGTATAACTATTTCCATCCCCATGTCAGGTCTTCTCTGGTCAGTTTGCACAGTGGCGCTACTGGGAGGATTATTAATTCACAGAATAAAAGCTGTGTGCATTGTAGGAGGTTTGTAGGTACTTAGGAGTCTAAGTCTCAATTCCACTGTGTCAGGGAAGTGAAAACTAATAGGACTGAGAATCCTGCAGCAATTAATCTCTACTAGAAAATAATCTCTGCTGTAACTACAATACTCCACGTGGTGTTACCTTTTACTGTATGCACTTTCTGCTGTATTCTGTAGAGTGTTTGGACATTTCAGTCACCGCTCAGAGTGGCAGCTGGTGAAAATTGATTACAAGTCCATTTTTGATCGGAGATGTGCAGAAGAGGACTACTGGACTTGGCAACTCCACAGCCAGGTGAGAAGCAAGGAGGCTGGGATCTGACCTGAGGCAACTAATGATCCTACAGTTAAGAATCAGCAAAGAGGCTGCGGTGTTTTTCTGTTAGCCTGATTATCCTTTACTGGATGTTTTATTTTTCTCTTAACATGGATGTGTTGGCTGCAGATTGCACCCTATGAGCCCTGAAGGATGAACAGTGTCTTAGCTTGTTCTGTAATTAATGAGTAAGACTCTGTGTTATAAAAGGAGCAGAGGTTTGAGGTTCTGTGCAGGCAATTAGCTAAGACTCTTACCTTCCAGCAGGCGGATGCAGCTACAGCAGAATTGCTGCTGCTGAAATAGGCCTGAAATCCTTCTCTCTTAGAATTCACAAGCAGTTCTTTCATCCTTACCTCTTTTCTCTTCTGTTCCTCTTGTGTCTCAGAGACTTTTGACCCTTCTAGCTCTCTCACGCTTATTTCCCCAGGTTCTGCCCTCTCACTCTCCTGTCTTATTCACTCATTTTCGTATTGCTCTGTCTCTCTCAGCTGTGATACGTCTGCTGCAGGAACCAGACAGTTTATCTACTGTTCTGTTGCCCCCCCTGTGTCCTGTTCCTGGTACACGTGATGCAGGACTGCATGATTCTTGAAATTATCACTCAGGTGTCCCATGAGTCAATGTGCTCATTCCTGTGGGCAGGGGGCATCTTACAAGTTCCACTAAGTTTGCCATGGCAGCCTGTGTTCAGTCAGGTTAGAACAAAATAAAGCCCAAATTCTGTGGTCATTTAAACACCACAGTCTTCACTGCAATCTAAAGAGGTACACCCATTTGTATCATCAAATGTTGTCTTGCTGGGCAAGAATTTAATAATGGATACGAAATGAAAGTAGCTTGACTCAGATTGGCTGCTCACACAAGGCACAATGTCACACTAAAAATATCAAATATGGCTTACATGTTGAGATTCAAAAATTCACAGGATTTTACACCAGGTGCCATTTGGGCCTTTCTCTTTTCTTGGTCAAATCAAAGGTCTGAAAAGTTTATTTTTCCCATAGTGATCTTAACATCACAAAATGTAACAAGCGAGACACTTTTTTTTATTCTTTACTTTCTTGTGATTGCATAAGCAAAAATGCTAAGAATTTTGCAGTATATCTTTGAAGATGTTGGAGCTTGCAGAGCTATTTTTAGGAAGGTGACTGTGTACTTTTGACTTTTGCTTTGCTTTCCTTTGAATTCACAGGGCTTTGCCACATTCCCTAGATATAAATGTGTAGCAGGGTGTTCAAAATAGTGAGAGATAAGGAAGTGTTAACATCCAGTATGTTACAAATCAAACCCTGGACAAAATGAACTCAGAAAGTGTCGAAAATATTTAGGTGTATACATATTACTAATTTCTACTGAATAAAATCATTGCCAAAGTGATTAAACTAACGGAACAGACCTACTCTATCTTGGAGTGGAGGGACCAGGCTCTGTTTTCAGTTGCTGTGAAACTTAACCTATAAACAAGAAACGAGTCTGACTCAAATACTCATTGGGCTTGGAACAAATTCAGAATTGAATCTGATTCATAGGTAACCCCAGATCATTTCTTGGTGTGTATTGGAAAAGCTGCTTTATTTCAATTAAAGCTTCCATAACTTTAATTAGCTCCCCTGTACTGACATGGTATTTGACTTTCCATCCTCTTCCCTTGAGTCATAGCCCTTAATATTGCACAGTCTTGGAAAAAATGGGTGTTACAAACAGCCTAGTGGGTGTAAGAGAAATATATTTTTGGTTTTGTTTCCAGGGAGAAGCTTGCATCATGGGAGCAAAAAGGATCTACAGGAAGCGCAAGTCAGAGAAGAAATGCATGCAAGGAAAATATGCTGGGGGTATGACTTCAGAGCCATGTGTATGCACGGATGCAGACTTTGACTGGTGAGCAATGGGCACACGAATAGTGTGAGATTACCTAAAATGATGTGCTTCCTACCTTACCAGAATACAGGGGTTGGCAGAGTCACCAATCCCCATACTCAGTTTCTAGAAGTCTGACTAATGCATTGTCAGTCTGTTAGTGGTTAAGCCCCTTAAACTCATAAGTGCTTCACAGTCATGAAACGCTTCTGATAAACCTCTGCTTTCATTGCAGAACTTCTCACTCTGAGAACATATGTTTTTATTTCTTTGAAACTGATTGAGTGATTTGCTGCTATAAAGGCTTGTTGCTAGTAGCAGAACAAAAATACCACAGTGATTCTTGCTGGGGGGAAACAGGCATTTATTTCTTTTACATGCACCTAGAGGAAACTTTCTGCAAAAGGTCTGCTGCGCTGTAAAAGAACTTGAGGATACTTGGATGGCTAAGGATGTGTGACAGACAGGTCACATAGACTCATGAGACCCTTTGGATCTGTTGGAATGGGGAGAATTTTGAAATCCTCTTGTTAGAAGTAGACTGAGAAAAATATCCTTAAAAGTACTGCAAATCTCTGAGCTGAGCAGACTGCTAAAAAGCCTTTCTGACCTAAGAGGTTATTCCTCCTCCTGGTGAAACCACTTCTGTTTTAGAGTAGGATATCATGATCCTCCCCAATACTCTGAGCTCCTGTTATTCATGTAGTCCTCAGATCTGGATTTTGACTTTATCCATTTCAGCTTCCTTCTCCACTGCCTCTGAGGAAAAAGAATAAAACATCCAGTTCACAAATATTTACCACAAATAGTCATCACCTGTTTATCTACTTAGTGCAGTCAGGAATGTGGTCTTATGGAGATTTTTCCACAGAATGTTGGAAAAGCCACAGAGAAGAGAAGACAGGGGAGGAAATAAATGGCAAAAAAGAGTTCTGCTAGCTTGACTGAATTTCTCAGCCCAGATTCACTGTGTTAACAAAGTCAAAGCTCTGCTTCTGTGCCATAGTGTTCAGTGCATGCCTCATTGAACTCTTCACTAGGCTTCACTGCAGTAGCACCCTGCATAAGCTGGGCTGAAGGGAAATTTGGAGGAATATCAGTCAATAAAGCCTTGCTGTGAAAGGATGTCCTCTGGAGGGGGTTTCCTGCAAGAAGCAGCAGCTCTTTTCTCATCCTCATTTATGACAATTCCGTGGTGCTTTTGAATGCTTTTTTTTTTTTTTAAGCTGATCAGGGCTCTGAATTGAAGTTGGTTTAAGGGAACTCGTATCCTTCAGGTAGGGAGAAGCCCCTGTACTGGCTGCACTTGGATTTACAATCTTAACGTAATCTGGACAGCTTTTTGCATTAATAGTAATGGTTGCAGGATACGGGTTTGTATACAGAATGAAAGAAGACAACAATCCCTGCCCCATTCAGTGTAGTTTGGACACTGAAATTGTAAGGAGAACATTTTATTACCTAAGCTTGTCAGAGCTTGGAGTAAAATCAATCATATGTAGATGAGAAAGTTACAACAAACAAACAAAGAGCATCATTGCTGTTAGATCTGTGTGTTGTTTTATCAGTTCAGAGTGTAGAAAAAAGCCAGTCATAAAAGACTTAGATTGTCTGTTGTTTTGTGTTTGTTTTTTTCTCCTAACAATATCACGAGTTCAAGGTTCTTTTCAAATTTGTATTCAGTCCATTGTGGTTCTTTCTCAGAGAAAAGGGCACATTTGTTTATTGCTTTACACAGCAACAAAACTGAGTGGCATTAGAAATGACTATAGATTCTCCAGCCTCGGGAATCTGAACTCTTCTGACAGAAGATGTCCCTCGATCCAAACACGTACTGCTCCCTGCATGGGCTGCAGCTCACAGCCAGAGGGCAATGGTGCTTCAGGAATAGGTGTTCAGGAACCCTCAACAATTCTGTCCTAGCAACAGCCTGGAAACGAGATTGTTCTTCTTCATTTAATTGATTTGGGTAAATGGATGACACCGTTACTTGTGTGTTATTAAAGCATTAATTTAGCTGTTTTCCTTCCATTGTGTTCCTTCCTGCTGTTTGGATGTTATTACAGCAATATCTCTTTGGTAGAAACACCTTCCAGACATGGATGGAAATCTTCAGTGATGCTCATTCTTCAGCTACCTGTCTCCCATGTCCTTTAATAGAAACTTTGAGTGAAGTGTTGCTCTGCCAGTCCTCCCTCTGAACCCATTGCCATTAATACTGAGCACTTCTCCTATCTGTGTTCCTAAATCTCATGCCTTCAAGGGGAGCAGCAGTCTGTTTATGCTGCTGCTAGTGACTTCAGATAGCTAAAAAGGTGCAAAGGAGCCTTAGTGCAATTGAGAGTCAGGCATATTTATCTCACTGATGATATTGGTGAGGATCTGTCTGGCTTTTTTTTTTTATCGGATAGGCTTTAAATTACAGACCTGCCTGCTAGGTTTAATTCTTATGCTAAAACACCATAGTCCTCTGCCATGAGAAACTGTCTTGATAAACTGCGTTGAGGCAGAAGGCAGATGCTGAATGTGATCAGACTGTGTTGGCTTCATGTGTTAGCACTCATTGATTCATGCAGTCATGCAAATGTCAGTTCTGAAAAGAACATATATTTGCATCCTGAAGTTAATTAAATCTGTTTTATCATTCAAGAGGGCATAGTTAGCTGACAAATAGTGATTTTGAATTCATTTTAGTTCATTTTGAATGGTCGTCGAAAATACAGATTCAAGTCTGAGATGTATCTCTGCATCCGTAGGGTTCTAGATATCTACAAGGCACAGATTTACTGGAGGACACTTGGGGGTTTTATATTCTGTTAAGATAAACTGGAGTGACCTGTACTTCTGAACACTGGTGCAGTTATAATCATATGCCTTCCTAGATCCATCATTCAAAGTGTTGCTAAATCCATCCTTCTCTTAGACAAATCCCAGCTTGAGTCCTTGGAATACTGTGAAGCAAGTAGAACTCCCTTAAACAGAAATCTGTTCTTATACCATAGTTTAGTATTAGAAAATATTAAGTTAGTAAAATGATAGTAAGACATTACTATCTGTGGCCATGGTTAATTATTTCTAGAGGACCTTTTGGAAACTACAGATCAAAGGTGACTTTAAGCTTAGGTACCTTGATTCCAACCTACTTAAGGTCTGGAAAGTTTGCAGAGCAGAGAATGTAAAACTATGGGTAATGTTTACTGTTGCTGGCATGGTTGACCTTAAGGTGAAGCTGTTAAAATTAAGGAAATCCTGTGCTCATGTTATAAGTCATCTCTGCAGTCTCAGAAACTTTTCTGACTTACCTGATAATTTCTTATCTTAAAGCAGTGGGATTTCAATAATATCATGTAGATTTACAGTTCTTCCATTACAGTAACTTTGTCACATGTGTTTTCAAGCAAAAGACCTCCAAAAGGGATTTCTTTTCTTTGATTTTTACTTGTACACAAACACAAAATCAGGGAATTTACCATGAGTTTGGTGCAGGGTTATAGAACTTCTGGATTCAGTCTGTCTTTAATTGCAAGGGAGGACTTGTAAATAGAAGAAATAAGTGAATACGCAAATACAATTCCTGTTTAAACCAGTAAAAGTGGTCTATATTTTAAACCATTGTCAGTGAGAGACAGATAGTAGGCTGCTTCACGCTGATAAAACAAGCCCTGCTGTTAAATGTTCTGCTCTTATTTTGATAAGTACATTATCTATTTCACCTGAGTTCTTTTCAAGCAGGCAGAAAATACCATCAATATATGCAAATTCCAATTCCCAGGTACCTGGCAGTGACTTGGCTAGCTGATTGCAGGCTAGAGCTGATGCCTTTCCTGTTTCCATATTTTGCTATACTTGCTCTTGCTATGGCAATCCAATTGATGCTAATGCTTGTTGATTGCTGCAAAGCCTGTTGTGCCAAATTGTAGGCAGCAATTTGTTGTCAGCATCAGTGTTCTGAATGCACCAGCCTGTAGCCAAGGAATTCATTAAATTCCAAGACTGCGGAGGTGAACGGGGGGCTGGTGCATCTGTAGAGAGATACGGTACAACAATTCATGTCATTTTCTGGGATTACATTTCTGTAGGGCCTTAATGAGCCAGACGATTTGCAAGCCTGAAAATGACACTGTGAAACTTCTGTGCTTAGAACTATTTTTGCTGTGGAAAATCCTATCATTTCGTTCTCTTGAGTTTGAGAAATCCATGCGTAGTCAAACCTAGTGAAGTCAAACTTCTGTTGCCCAGATTTGTGAGTTCTAACAGGAAACAAAATTAGAGCATGAGTATAGATGTGTATAGTAAGAGATCACAGATGGTTACTGCTGTATTAAGTTGGACTACAGATACTGATCCCCTCTGCAGCAGATCTCACTGCTCTGTTTTGTTTTCACCTGATTACATAACGTTGTGTGTGTAGAGTGTTACAGCCTTTTTAATTAGAGTGATACAAGATAACTTAGAAATACAGTGCTGCAAAGTGTTGACAAATGAATTACAAAAATCCAGGAGTCCCACTTGTGTGTAAATATTTGTTTTCTGTAAGCAAATCAGAGTGGTGTTATTCTTCATTATAAAGTGTTTCTACAGCCATAGTGTTTTTAATCCAACAAGGATGATTAGAGGACTGCATGGCAATGGGAGAATACGCTGTCTAATGCTTCCAAAGCAATTAAGCAACATTCAATCACTAGCATCTGAGTAAATAGATTCATGAAAATTCAATCACAAAAACTGAGGAAAAGACCCATTTAGGTCATCTGGTTCATTGCTGTTTCCTAGAGCATGTTCTCAATTACTCGTAGCTATCCCAAGCAGCACAGCTGCCAAAATGTTCTTATGGAGCAGTTGTGCAGTTCATTGTATTTAGTTTTTCCACATGATGTGTAGCATTAGTTGTTTTGTTGCTGTTGTTGTTAATGTCATCCTTTAAATTGCTGTTTTTAGATTACATTGAAACATTTATTTTCTTGAAAAGTTACAAGCGTGGGTAAAAAAATTGTGATAAAAGCCCTCTCCATGTCCACCTTATGAGTGGCTGAGATCCTTGGGTTCAGCATAGAGCGGAGGAGGCTGAGGGGAGGCGTCCTGGTAGCCCACTGTTCCTCTAAGTGAGCAGAGTGGCAGCAGTGAGCTCTGCTCTCTGGTCACAGTGATAATGCCCCAGGAAACAGCATGGAGCCAGGAGTCGGACTTGATCTTTGAGAATCCCTTCCAACTCAGGATATTCTATAGATTCAGTTCCCTGCGAGCCATGTTCTAACTCTAGTTGCTAACACTTAGACACTTAGATCTCCACACACATGTGCACACAGAACAGAAAGGAAAATAGTTAGAAGTGAAGAAGACAGGGCATGCTACAAAGGGAATGGAAAAAAAAAAAAAAGAAAAAAAAAGAAAGAAACATTCCGCGTACACACAGCCTGTTCTTTTTTCTCCTTATTTTGTACAATTTTTTCCTTCCCTTTCTCTGCATTTGGTTCTTCCGCATCACATCTCCTAATAACTTTTGTACAATCCACAAATGCTATTCCTTAGCATAATGAATCCCATTCCTCCGTGTGCAGTAACCCAGCTCAGTCTGTGAGGCAGTCTTAGCAGCGCCTCTCCAGTTGTCTATCTGGTGAGCCTCCACCCCACCTTGGCCTGATGGTTGTCTTTTGACCAGTTCTTAGAGGAGCCAGGACAGGGATTCCACTGACTGCATCCATATTATTGAGGGTTTTGGTCTCCTGTTTTTCTTCGTTCTTCTTTATGTATCCAAATGTAAGCCTTTAATCATATAATCTAAGAATATTCTAAACCTGTTTTGTTTCAACATTTGGCTACTTGATACAAAGTTACTAAAGCTAAGAAGTACCATTCCAAGATTAAAGGTCATATGGCAACTGGAATTTTGGAATGGTGTCTGTGAACCTCTGGATGGCAATTCTTAGAAACGGTGACCCATTAGCTTCTCAGTTATACTGTATGGAGAAAGCTCAGTAAAAGGAATGAATGATTTTCTGTCCAAACAGTTCTCATTACTGAATGACTAGAAAACTAACCACGCAAACAGAATACTGGATAAACAGGTTTTATAATCGAACATTATTTATTGTGCATTTATCTGAAAGCAAAAAAACAGTTGGAAATGTTGCTTATTTTTTGTGGAACTGAATCAAACCTAGTCAGAGCTAAACCCAAATTGGAGCAAAAGATTCCATTTTGATTTATTGTTTCTAAAACTTTTCTTTTTTCTTTTCTTTTCTTTTTTTCCAACATTTCCACTTCCAAACCAAAACAGAAATTACCAAATACCTTCTGTACCTTCACTCTGCTCCTTCAGAGCGTGGGTTTTCCTCTGCAGCTTGTATAACATGGTTTTCAAATATATCAAACTGTTTAGCACTTCGGTTTTCTAAGAGGTGACAGCAGTGGTTGAAATAGGTGAAGATCTCTGGCCTTTATCATATTTTGGTTTAGAGATGAGCTAGAGAAACACTGTTGGACTGCCTAGGGAGAACAGATAAAGCAGTAGCTCATGAACTGCCTGGAAGAATCGTAATGATCTAGTTCTACTTTTTTGTGCTGGGATGTATGCAGGGTAACTTTATGCATAACAAAAGCTAAGGCAAGATGAAGAATCTGTTATTCCATCATTAAAAAAATCAGAAACTCCAGTAAACATACTGAGGAAAATCACAACTTGTATCAATAGCAGACAGCGTGAGCTAATACCTGTGTTAATTCTTCTTTTTTCTTTTTTAAATGTTTGTGTGTAACTCTCTTTTAATGTTCAAACAGTGATTATGGATATGAACGTCACAGCAATGGGCAGTGTTTACCAGCATTTTGGTATAATCCATCTTCCTTGTCAAAAGACTGCAGCCTTGGACAGAGTTATCTCAACAGCACTGGGTAAGTGGTGCACTAGACAGTATTTTAGCCAGAGCACTTCACAGTGAACTTCAACCCAATGATGACAGCATTTACCACTGGTGACTCAAAGCTGGGTGAAGTCCTTGGGACTTCTTCATTATTGAATTTGCTGGGGTGCACAGTAATGCCCTCCAGATCACCATCACATATGGTCCAGAACTTTCTATGAAAAATGATGTCTTAAAGAAACTTGAGTGGAAAATGTAAGGCAAAGGCCAGACCACTAAATCTCTGAAAGCAATCCTGTTAAAATCATTTGGGATCACATGAGCCAGAAAGGGTGGGAAATAAATTAGAGGAAAGAGATAAAACTGATATATATGTACAAAGAAGTAATATATGGGCAGTTAGTCCAAATGCTGATTGTTCTTCGGCTCTCTCGAACATCAATAAAAGATGCATTTTGTATTAAAAGACTGACCTCAAACTGCATTTCTCATGCAAATGACTGAAACAAAAGAATCTAAGATGTTTTGGAATTCTGTACATTCAAATATAGGCATAATTTGTCATCCTCTTCCACTTTATCATTACTGTAAGTTCTGGAGGCTTATATCTGTAGAATTGTTTCACTGCTGATGACAAAGGAACGGTTTTGAGACATGAGAAAATCTGTTTAACTGCCTAAAAGTGTAATAATATAATACAATTATACTATATATGTATATTACCTATTTATAACTTTATAATTATCTAACTTATAACCTACATTGTCATAGAATTCTATGTTTTATGCAATATATATAGTATGTGGTATACAGCTGTGCTAAATATTACCTGTCACTAACAACATTATTAATTGTTTACACGTTAGGTATGTGAGGAATACTTGGCTGAGGAAAATCATAAAGCATATTTGAGAATCTGCTTTCTTCCAATCTTCTTAATCTAAAGAAACCTCAGAAATGTACCCCTGTTCCCAGTTAACCCTGTTGTGCTCCCTGTCAGAATCTTGTACAGTTTCTCTCTTTACCTTTGCAGGTACCGAAAAGTTGTTTCTAATAACTGCACGGATGGTGTGAGAGAGCAGTACACAGCAAAACCACAGCAATGTCCTGGCAAAGCTCCCCAGGGTCTTCGCATAATAACCTCTGATGGCAAACTGACAGCTGAGCAAGGACACAATGTCACTTTTCTGGTGCAACTGGAAGAGGTAGGCTCTGTGGGTGTATTTCAGTCTGAGTCATGCTAACCGAAGTTTTAAAGTGGTAGAAAGGTGAATAGAGTATAGGACAAAAACAGCTCCCTTATGTATCTGTCTAAGATACTAGATATAAGGAAAAAACATTTTTACAATAATGCTGGTGAGGCACTGGCGCAGGTTGGCCAAAGAGTTGGTATCTCCACTCTTGGAGACATTCCAGGTCCGACTGGACCAGGCTCTGAGAACACCTAGCTGTAGGTGTCCCTGTTCATTGCAGAGAAGTTGAACTAGATAACTTTTAAGGATCCCTTCCATCAAAGGATTTTATGATTCTCTGCATACTGGTTAAGTGCCTGGGGGTAAAATCTCAAGATGTCATCAGCACTGAGTCTGAAATTGATTGCAGATGCGAAGCTGACTCAGTCTCTAACTGGAATCTGTGTTCCTGTTATATCTCTAACGTAATTTATTACGCCACAGTACTCCTCTTTCCATTTATGAGTCTCTAGAAAAAAAGGGTTTTTTTCCACCTGTTTTCTCTGCTTACCACTTCCTTATCTGTGATAATTGTAGGCTCCTAAATGATAACTCCTACAAAGTAATTATTATATCTTTTTTTCCCTAATCCAGTTTGATTTCTTTAAACTTCTACCCTTTGTCACGTGCAATTGGACAATAAATCCTAAAACAACTGTGCTTTTGCACTGGGGGATAATGCATATCCTTTTAGAGCTTTAGAGTATTCATGGAAATTACTTCTGACCCTCACCATACCACATGTCATTAGTAGTGAGGATAGAGAAATGAGGATGACCTCTGGTGCTGAGTTTTGTAGGGACATGTTGGGGTTTTTGCATTCTACTACTGATATTTTTCCAGCAAACATGTGTCCTGATCTGCAAAGACAATAATGTAATAAATCGTATCTAACCTTAAGCAGTTCTACAACTGGAATGTTCATTTTCTCCAAAAGGTGGTCTCCATTATAGTAGTTAAACTCATACAACATAGCTACTGCAGATGCCATCATAGCAGTTTGAACATATACTTTGACCAGGATACATTATTGATTTCTATGTTTAAAGATGAAGAAAAGAAGTACAAAATGAGATTCAAAGCTTTCAGACTTTATTTCAAAAAGCATATAAGCAACCAAGAAAGATGTTTTTATATTCTCCCTCCAGAAGTGTTTATTGCTGCCTTTCTATTCTCAGAAAAGTCTTACAACAGACTGAGAGAAAGAGATGGGTAACCTAAGACATCAATCACAGATCTGTCAAGGAATTATACCAATAGGGGGAGATGCAGTAACTCACGCGTTGGGAAACTCAGAACAAATTTCCTGCTTTGAGTGTTTGAACTCGCATATCTTGTAAGAGTGTCCTTGACACTCTGTTACACACAAATCTGTTGTGAATTGTACTGTGTTTTCAGTTGGTCACGATCTTTTCTGATAACACTGTTTCAGTTTTCATCGGAGTTTGGATGCATGCTGTGCATCACGAAGTATGTAAAGCATATTTTGATAAGTGAGTCAGCTGCAATGGAAATCTAAAGGGGACCCGTTTTGGGGGATATTTCATAAGGAGGAGTTTAGGAATTGCTCTCAGCATTGAAAAGTATTGATCAGCCTGCAGCCTTGGTAATTACTTCCCTGCCAGATGAATCCTGACCTTCTGCTCCTGGATTTGTCAACGTATAGAATTTGCAGAATTTTGGATGTGAATTTGACCTAATCTGACAGTTTGGGCTGATGTTACAACAAAAGAAATATTCAACAAAGATGAAAGTTTGTCCAGTTATGTGCTTATATGATATGAGAGAATAAATTATAGTCATAGGAACGTATTTTTATATACACTAAATTATTTTTGATAAACTATTTCAGTAAAAAAATCACACCACTCACCAGGAAAGTTAAACAACTCAGTAAAAGAACAATTATCCTGTCATAGAGCAGGTATCAAATTCACATAGTTGCAGAACTGCTGAAGCTGGAAGGGATCACTGGAGTTTGCATAGCTTGATTAGTGTGGACTTTGTTTCGGCCAACGCCTGTGAAACTTTCCTTCCTTTACAAACAAGATACAAGATACAAGCCATTTTCTGTTGAGTTGTGCCTTGTGCCAGTGTACACCACAGTATAATCTAGATAGGAAGTATTATTTTCTTTTTGGATCCTACCTGGGTCTGAAAAGAGCTTCAAACTTTAGATGCAGGCTCACTGGAGGCCCTGAAAAATCACTACATTTATGAAGTAGAAGGGGATATCTGAGAGAGGAGTAAAATTGTGGCAGTGAAAACTGATGTTTCCACTAAGTTGTGGGAGTCAGGCAGGATTCACAACACAGGGGTTTCTTGTAGAGTACCCTTATGTCTGCAGTGATGCTCAAGGCTGGGACTGCAGACTGTCATTCTAATCATGACAGAGTGTCAGATTAGGAAGGTTCCTCCAGGTTAGTTCACATATTAGACTACATACAATCATTGTGAAAATCTTACTGTATGGAAGCAGTCAGAATGCATCAGTGCTTCCTTTTATAATTAGCGTGTATCTCGTACAAACTTTTGTGGAAGTATTTAATAAGCAGAGCACCATAGTTAAGCTGGTAATTTTGTTCTTAAATTCCCATTGAGCAAAACAGAATAGTCACAGTCTGTCACTAACTGGCAGAATGGGAGAAAACCAGCTGTGCTTTAAAGGCGATTTCCCATTGCCTCAAAATGATGTCACTTTAAAGGTTAATCCTTTGTCCTGCTCTGGCCTCTTTATGCTCTGTACACGGATAAAGATCAGGCTGGTGCCTTTCACCCATAGCACTCATCTAGAGTTGCTTCTCATCCTACATAACCTTAATCCTTGCTTAATTTTTCCACAAGAAAAAGAAATAACAATAATTTTAAAAAATCCACTCAAATAAAATGCTACAAAGACATTTTTTCCAGTCAAATTCTTAAACCCAACATCCCTGACATATTTTCCTGCTCTGCTGTAGAAAATAGAGGAATTTTGTTAAGCAAGTGTTATTTCTGCATGTCTTCCCCATCACATGGTCATGAAGATCTCTTTCCTGTCACAAACCTAGTTGTTATTTCTATATTTCACTTATTGGTATGAACATCAGACATTTGTGTTTCTTGCTGCACTGTTTCAGCAGAGACACTAGAAGCAGCAGCTTCCAGAACAACTCTGTTCAGCACAATGGCTTTCAAACTTGTTTTATCTGATTGCTCATATGTCTTTGCTGAAGAAAAGGTTGGTAAAAACTTTCAGGGCAGAATGGTTCAGGGCTTTGGCTGTTTCATTACAGATAATTCATGGAGAAACTGCCTACTCTAATTTATTTTTTATCCTGATAAATTGACAGCCAAAAGTCTTTGACATTCCAGATCTGCTTCACCTCTCACTTGCCAAAGTCACCCCACTGGCTTGCATTTGACTACTTTCTTCTGCTATATGATGTTTTGATTAGGTTGATATGCGGGGAAAACTCTTTAGTTCTTACAGTTTTAGCCATGGACTGAAATTCAGGCAGTCTGAACTCATTCCTGAAGTGCTCTCTGAGCTATTTCTGTTTGACCTTAAGTAAGAAACTTAACCTTTTTGCTTTTTCCTTCATTTGAAAATAGAACTTCGCTTACTACCTCATGTCTTCCAGGCTATTCATATTTATGCTGAATGCTTATAAGGCCAAAGAAATCTCCCGTGCTAAGTGAATATAAAAATAAAGCCCTGGATTTCATGTAGACCACAGTGGCTTTCTGTAATGACTTTCAATAAGTGGTTACCCAATGAACATTGTGCCTGGGTGCATTTAATGAGCTTAGGGGACCCTGCTGACAAAGGAACAGTGCTATGAACATTTCCCTCCATGGCGCTGTGGCCTGGTGTAATTCAGAATTCAACTCAGCTGAAAGGTAAGCTTAGTGTTAGGATTGTTTTGTTGTTGCTGTACTTAAAATTAAAGATGCGAAGCTAGTAGTACATGAAAGCACAGGTTTTTCAGTGTCCTACTGTGTTCCCTCTTTGATATCACAAGTTAGTAAAGATTATGAAAATCTGAAACCTTTATCCTAACTTTAAACACAGATTGTGAATCATGGCTGTTTATCTTTCTAACACCAACACATTCCTCTTAATAGCACACAGCCAAAGATCAGTACATCCACTCTTCCATACCACTGTCATCTGAATTATAATTGCATTTTCTCTGTTACTGACGATGACAAGATTGTTAGGTGAAATCAAAGCCTTTCATGCATTTTTTTAATCTTCTGCTAAAATTCCATGAAAATGTATAAAAGTTGACCTTTCCTTCATGATGACACAGTGCTACAGTCTTCTAATGCACCTCCAGTTGCATAAGTTGAATTATTTGGCGTAATTCTAATTCCTGTGGAGCACAGATCTAGTCCTGTAGAAAAAGTTCATAGATGAATTGTGTTGGCAGAACTGGCAGTCATAACGAAACATTCAATTAGTACAATTTACTGTGTTGGTGTAGAAAAAGAAGTACATGTACCCAGCCTTATAAAAGACACATTTTTAATCTGTTTCTGCTATTAAAGTTAAAGAGCATCTCTTCATAAGTGGGAATTTGAAAAGAAAATGTGATTTTCTGTATTTGACCAAGTTGAACATAAGTATCTTTTTAAAATAAGTGTATGCCTTAAACAGACAAAGTCAAAAATTATCCCACGTACAGATAATCGGTTGCAATGGAAATGTTTGATGGATGTTTTCTAATGGTGACAGGAAAATGTCACAGTGTATAAAAGGTTGCTCTCAAGGAAGCACAAAACAGATTTCTAAAACATTAATTCATGAAGACAGTTCAACAGTGGTGTCTGTCTCTTGCGGAGGATAATTAAATTCATTTTCAACATCTGTAAGGAAGGAGTCACAATTTGATGCATAATTGAAGACTTAAAAATTAAATTTGAAACATGGGAAACAAAATTAAAAACCTTGAACTGTGTTTCATTGTTTTAATACTTCAATTTATATACAAAGACTGTAAGTTAATAAGGAAAATTCATGATTAGAACCTCCTGGGCAAAATTCAGATAGAGTGTTTGTGATGAGTTTGAATGAGCCCCAACCTCAGATACACTGAAATAACAAGACTCTGTGAAAGTAATCAAAATGTAACAATATTGTTATGAAGTATATAGTCAGTTTCTTGGCATATCCCCAGGCAGGAAGCTTCATGGAGTTTGTTGGAAACATCTGTGTCTTATGAATGCTCTATTGTTTTGGCAAGATACAGGAAAAGTGTGTATTTTGGTTTGGGAATGGAGAGTGTTCTGTTTATGCTTAGAAATTCTGTAGGCATTTAATGAGAAAATCCCTTAGAAAACAGTAAATTTCCAATTTATAGTTTAGCATCTCATGGTGTATGGGAAGAAGGCATAAGATGGGCCTTGGGAAAAATTGTTTTTAATTCCCAGGTGTTCTTCTCTGGCTAAAAGGAATACTCATATGCTTGAATTTCAATATACATGTATGTCTTTGGCTGAACTGAAAGCTTTATCAAATGTGCAGTCTTCAGATATACCCAACTTTGTGCATATTGCAATGCATTATAAACAAAATATTTTATATTTTACCCAATACTTGGTAAAAAAAATCCATCCACTAAAAGTACTTTTATTTTTCCAACTATTATAATTGTGGTTGCCTAGCATAGTGTGATTGATGCACTGAATGTGTGAATGTGTGAATGAGGCACTGAATGCACAGATATCACCGCAAGCAGCCATCTTGTCAAATTTTTCCTCAGTGCCTAAGAGCACTGGCATTAAAGACCTCTTCCAGTGAAGGCTAGAGAGGATGCCCGAAGACAGCTCGGCAATGACTGCATCCAAGTGCTTTGCTGTGACGGCAGAAATAACACAGTAGCTTTTGTGTCTACCTTAATCGGGCTAAAAGCTTCAGAAACCCCTCTCATGTAGTGCTGGACTTGTCAAAATGCTGAGGAGAAGCCAGAAAAAAAAAAGTAAAAAGAGAGATTTTTAGCAAGATGTATGTATAGGCATCAAATTGTTGCAAAACAGATCCTCTCTTGGAAAATCAGCCACATGCAAATGGCTCTCTGGAGCTGGGGTTGATGTAGATCAGGTGCAGGTTGTAAGGAAATGTTTTGATTTTGGCTTTCCTACTTTGTCTTCTGGTTTATTCTGCCCATACTCTTTCCTGGCACAGATAAAACATATGAAAAATAGACAAAATCACAATCTCTTTGTTTTTCTGACTTTTTTTCTCTCCTTTCCTAAGATAGAATTTTAAATGTCAGCCTTTCAAAATGTGGCATTTTCAGAGAAGTGTTATAGCCTGGGTCTTACTGAAAAGAAAGTGCTTTTCCAGTTCAAAGGGCTTTAAAACAAAACAGAAAAAGCTAAGACAAATGAAAGAGGCTGTGGGAATAGCAGCTCAAGTTCTTCTCCAATTAAATTTTCAGATGTCTCTGTCAGCATCTTTTCTCCCAGGGGAATTTGGAAGAAAACTTGAAATCTAAATCCTGCATATGTTGGAAATGGCTCCCTTCCCTGGCAGCACCTGTAGACACTACAGGTTTCATGGCTATAGAGAAAAATGAAGATGAGAAGAAAAGTCTGTTAGAACATGAATTTTGTCTCTTGCTGAAACAGAACTGTTCTAATGTGGTATCGCGCTTTTCATCTTCTCTGCTACTTCAAATATGCAGAGGAAGATACCTTGTCCTGAAATATATCTCAACTGCCTGACCTCAAATATATTCAGATATGATAAAGCCAGCGGGGTCACTATGGCAGTGTGGTTTTAATCATGCAGACTGCTTTTGTCCCAGCAGTATGGCTTTGCTGAATAATTTTTGAATGTGTCATCTCTTTTCAGTTAAAAAAAAAAAAAAAAAAAGAAAGAAAGAAAGAAAGAAAAAAAAAAAGGAAAAAAAAAATTAAAACCCTAGCAATGATGGGCATAGAGGAACTGGAAGACCTTTCAAGGGTTCTTCAGAAAACTGATGTATGCTCACCTTTGTCTGTGGAGGCAAATCCCATTTGGTACATGTTGGCTCATGTCAAACATGTTGGCTCTGCATGCTGGCTTGAAGTCAAAATACCACAGAACAGTGGTAGATGTGGCACTGAGGGACATGTTTTGGTGGGCATAGTGATGATGAGTTGATGGTTTGATTTGGTGATCTTAGAGACCTTTTCCCACCTTTATGTTTCTATGATCCTATCTTGTTTGTAACTTTGCACATCCTCTTTCATATAACTTGTGTCACTTAGGGACTTTACTGTCCGTACCTTCACAACTTGGGGAGAAATGGCGTGGGGTATCTCTAGGAAGCTCCAGGCACATGCTTTTGTCAGGGGATGCCTTTGTCTCTACACATTCAGTCTGCGATACTCCAGAGCAGAACAATACAGTTATTTTTGTCTCACCCCTTTGGAAGCAACTGAGCTTCCAGCAGGGTGCCAGGGCAGTGTAATGAGTACCACTTTAACCTCTGAAAACAGAGTGTCTGGAACAATTTATCTCTCTTGCTATCCTGAAGTAGAGCTCGGCTGCCCCCACTTCCCATTCAGCCATGCTTCCACCATTTCTGTCTTCACAACAAGTGATAAAAAGACAGAAGGAACATGAGGAATGGGAATGATTCTGTTCCAGTTCTCTCACACTCACACATTTCCCTTTCTGATGTGAATACCTGCCTGATGCCAACCATTTACATGGGTACCTTTTCTTCTAGCTGGGCATCCAGAGGACTGTTTCTATCTCAGAGTGGTAAGGAAAGAAGGAAACCAAAGTAAATTAAGAGCATTTTCAGCCAGTTTTTTGGACTGTCCTCAGCTATTATTTCAGTGACATTCTTGCAGACAGTGGCAGCTGCCTCGGGATCAGCCTGGTTGTAAGCTGCTGCATAGCAACAGGAAGCTGGGACATACCCCATGTAGGCATCAAGCGGAGCCTCTGAGAGGCACTCCCAAAAGGAGAAAGAGTGCTTTAAATTGAGACAAGATTCTACATCTCACCTGAAGGACAGGGGGTATGAGGCAGCCATAGTTGCTATACAGGGCAGTGTAGGCTGTATTTGGTCATGAAAAGCTGCCCTTATCAGACACATATCACTGCCTTGTGATATCAGAAAATCTCGTGTTTCTAACATATAAGACATGGGTTATCTTTCGTTTTTTGGGGAGCTTTTCTTGTGTTTTGTTTGTTTGTTTGTTTGTTTTGTATACAGTTGAGGCTTACTTCTCTGTCTGATAAACTAGCTTGCAAACAAAAAATCAGAAACTTGCTTTTTGTCTGGAAAGCAGAATGAAGTAATGACATCACCCTCCTCTTTTGGGTTTTATATGTCTTTGAGGACCATGTGGCTTTGGCATTTGACAAAACCACATGCAGCAGACTGGAATTCAGTTTCAAGAGCAGAAGATTAAAACCTGTTTTAGGATTGGTTTGCATTAAAGAGGCATGAATAACACAGATCTCTGATATCCTTGGCTTTGGTTTAAATTTTTACCCCCAGCTGTGGATTTTATTTATTTACTTATTGTAATTTATTTTAACAGCTCTGAAACCTGCTAGATTAGCAGCCCAGGAGAATAATGTCAAAGAGTGGCAGTCTGAGTTGCGCTACAAACCCACTCTGATAGGATTATCTCTAGGCAGGAGGAGAAGAGTTTAATCAGCCTTGTCAATTCATTAGCTCTCCTCTTCTGAGGCAGTCACAAAGGGTGCCACTTAGTGTCAGTGGTGTTGGTAGCTATTCTGAAATAAATACAAATCAGGCTCACTTCAAATCAGGCTGCTGAACAAGTTGTAAGCTCCTGTAACTGGTTGTTATCATGTAAGACTGAAAAGGTTCTTTTAACACCCTGCTGCTTAGATAGGGTTGACCCTTCCCTGAGGACTTCTCAAAGTTCCTTCTTGCACTGTTTTGTCTATTTACTTTTTATGATTTAAAATGCAAAACGCATAATGTGATTTGTTCCAAAGACTCCTGAGACAGTTACCCACATCCTTAGTGCTTGCTGAGTGTCACTCCCACTACAACACTGCTCTTCACAATAAGGAAACCTGGAGAAAGGAGCTGGAATGTTTACAAATAATGCCCATCTTTCCTGACAAGCAGGAATGCAAGGCTACAGCATACACCTTCTGTAATACTTCACCTTTAATAATGCAGCTGAGTTAACCTGAAGAAGGATCACTTTCTCTCCAGTGTCTGCTGTGTAAGTTGATGAAGTGACCTCTGCTAACATCAGGAATGTGAATATGCTCTGTATGATCTGTCTACATCACTCCACTGATTCAGTCTCTCGCAGTCATTTTCTGTAGCTCCCACCAGTACTCCTGCCGACATCAGAGGCTGTGGACTGATGTTCCAACAAGTCTCTTTCAGAAAAAAGAAAAGAAAAAAAAAAGTATATTCTGACCCTTTCTTTTTTCTGTCACCACAGGGAGATCTCCAAAGATCCCTCATTCAGGTGGATTTTGGCGACGGCACCGCTGTTTCATATGCCAATCTCAGCTCAACAGAAGATGGGATCAAACACACCTACCAGAACGTGGGCATATTCCGAGTGACCGTGCTGGTGGAAAATAGCCTGGGATCTGACAATGCTGTCCTCTACCTGCACGTAACATGTATGTATGTTCATACTCATTGTTAGCTTCTGTCATTCCTAGAAAAAATTATCACTTGCTCTGAGAGATGATGCTTGGACTTTGTATGTGGGAGGATGAAGTGATGGGAGATGGTGAGAGTTTGACCTCCAATGGAGGACTTCAGAATGAGAGGAGACACAAGGAATAGCAGTTTGTTTTTTTGGACCGTGTTTAACCTCTAACTTTGGGTGGTCCAATCTGAGACAGCTCAGAGTATTATCTTTCCCTTTCTGAAATGCACTGTGGTTGGCATGTTTACAGTGCCAGAAAAATAAAGACATCTTTTATTCACTTTTAAAAACCTTGACTTTCCCTTCATACAGTGTTTTGCCCTTTAATGAAATGCAGACACATTTGGGATGGAAACTTGTGCATTTCAGTCTTTCTGTTGTCATAGGAACCAAAATCCTGGTGTTAAAAGAGTATAACAAGAAAAAATGTTATCTTCACATTGCTCTTTTGCTATTCTTTTCAAACTTTTTATATGTTGGCTCTCTCTGATTTACACCTGAAATGTATCTCAGTCTTTGTATAAAACCAGCAATGTGTTCTTTCATCTTTATTCTTGCACATGCCTGAGAATCCAAAATGTTTGACCGTTAGTGAAACTCTGTAGTATCTCTGGATTTTGTTTGGGGCCATAATTTGTTTTACATTGTGTAATTATTTTCTTTTTTTTGTTTATTTTGTTATTTTTGTTGGGTTTTGTTAATTACTTTTCTAGGCTGTATATCTATGTGACAGATTTACTGAAGAAAAAAAATATTTTAAACTTAGTTATTTTTATTTTACGTTATGCGTATAGAAATACTACTTAGCCTCTACTAAAGTAATTCCACATATTGCCTAGATAATTCAGCACATTCCACATTCTGTGACTCTGGTTTTGGAGTTACTTCACTTAGCATGAAATCAGGTGCACCTTTAGGGGAAGAGGGCAGTTCTCTAATGGTGCACAGTCGTATAAGCAGATGGGACCAGTGGGATTTGTAGGTGTAGGAGACAGCAGGTGTATGCGGTAGCATGATGGGAACAGTAACAAATCCTTCCCTGAACTTCTTCCTTGAAAAAGACATGAGCATCGTGTACCATTTATGATTCCCTTACCTGATACTGGTCTGCCATAAACTTTTGTGTCACAGAGTCCTTCAGCAGTGTCGTGTGTTTGAAAAACTCCTATCTATCTTGCAAAAAAGAACTCTGCTGATAAATCAGATTGTTATCAAGCTTTGGTTCTTTATTTATATATTTATGCTGAATTACTTCTGCTTTGAAGCACTGGCGAGGCAAGGTAAGGTCTCAGCTTTTAGATAGCTACTGTTTTTTTGGTTGGTTGGTTTTGTTGCATGGTTTTGAGAATCACTGTATGATAGAAAAGGAACTCTGCTTAGAGCAGATTTTTATATGCTTTCACATAATTTCTTCAGCAACTGAGGAAGCTCGGGTTTGGTCCAGTGGAGAGTGCCCTTGTCTGCAGAGGAGTGGTTCTGGAGTCACACTGTAGTTTGCCTTCTTGCTTGTGCTTGGGTGCTTAGCAGGGGAGATGCAGGATGCAGCAATCCTCCTCCTTCTGCTGCTGGTTATGAAAGTCACCTCAACACGAGCTGTGGTCATCTTTTTTTTTTTTTTTCCCAGTCTGTGTAAAAGGTCACTGGAAAGAAATGGAGCACTGTTTTGGCAGTTGATATTTCACAAGAGGTTCTGACAGCCTTCTATGAACAGGGTTGGTAATTGTTTGCTGTTTGACAACAAAGGTCCATGGGGACCTTTGCATACGCTCAGCCTATCTGCACAGTAACGAGCCCCTATAACAATAACCACTCTGTTGTGCAACCACAAAATAGAAGAAGAAGGCAGGGAGGCCCTCACCCTTACTCGCATTGGCTTTCTGGGTTGTAGCTAATTTAATTCATTTTCTTGAGCCATAGAAGGCTTAAGAATTGTTTTGTTTTTTAAGAATTTGTTTTAACAGTACAATTAAGAAGCAATATCCAGATGTCTTCATGCTACTAAGCAGCTGATAAATATATATTTCTGAGTTGTGTTTAGATAAAGTCAATATGTGACTTCAATATGTCCCTGCATTATCATTGAAGTCAGGCCTAGATTATAGGTGTCTGACCTCCAGAGAAGCCACAGCCTGAAAGATGTGTTTCACCTCCCACTGTCTGCGAAGAATTAGGGACCTCAGAGCAGATTACAAACAGAGTATGGTGCCATTCAGACTAGCAATAGATTTGCTGAAGGCAGAGTTGTACAATAAATTCATAAAGCCCTCATAAAGCCTAATGCCCAGATCTACAAAAGCTTCTGAATCTATGGAAATGCTAGCTTTGCCTCTCAGCTCTCTAGTGATCAAGGCTACTTTATTTAGCTTGGGGTGCATAAGCATGAATCTGGCCTCTTGGAAGTCTTGTAAGGCATTATTGTATTGTATTGTTATTATTATTGTATTGTGAGGCAGGAGTATTTTGTTGTGCATGGACTGTACTTTGTATAAGGTATACACATTGAAATAAGTCTCTACAAACTTACCTGGAAGGGTGCAGACTCCTAGCAGTTAAGAGCCCATCCAGAATGAGCTATCCCCATCTGCTGGCCAGATAATAGTTCAGCATTTCAGCAACTTCGACCCATCATCTATTTGAAGAGAAATGCTGAGGCAGAATTGGCTTGTCAGAGCCATTCTTTCACATTCTTTCTAAGCCAGTGCATGGCACAGGTCTGAGGAGGGTTTGGGTGTCCTCTGCAGTGTGGTCTTTTTAGCTGTATTCTGAGCAACTGTGTAGTTATTTTGGAGTGAACTAGATTTTACACAGGTGTCATAGTCACTGTCACAACTGTCACCATATCAGGTGTGAGGGAATGTACTCCTTTAGAGGTCTGTGCTGGTGGTACCTGGCATTTGGCAAACATCCCAAAGGATATCAGAGCTGCAAAATATTCAGCTTGGGAAGCTGCCATTTCTCAGTTCTTAGTGTCTTGTAGGTCACAGAAATATACCTGAGCAGGGAAATTCCATTAAAATCAGAAGGATGAAATTCCAGCTTCTTAAGAATTTATAAAAGGGACTGCTGATTATTGAAGGAAAAATGAGCCACACATCTGTGTCTATAGCAGTCTTTGGTTAGTTCCACATGAGGGGGCTGCGTTAGGTTAATCAGTGGCTAAGTCTATACCACAAAGAAATCTGCATTTTAGTAATGAATCAGAAGGAGTGGTTCTTGTTTATACTGGCATTGCTTATACAGTCTGGTTTAGGTGAATTTTTTCATACCTCTCTGCATGTGTGTGATACAGGGTCAGGGGATGCTTGCTCTAAAATGTTCAGTGTTTCTCTTGGAAAGCCAGGTTCTAAGTGATGCTACGCATGTGATGTTTTCAGAAAAATCCTCTCCTAAAATATAAAAGATCCTTTAGCAAAATATTCACATGGACAATGCAGTCGACCCTCTTAGGCTGTGGTCTCCACTTCTCATCACTTAGAAACTCACAGATGTAGGAAATGAATTTTACTTGTTTTAGAAACCCATGTCCCCATATCACCTGGGAAGTCTTTTTTTTTCCTATGTCAGTTTTAGAACAATTGCTTTGTTCTCTAAGTGAACAGTCAGAACACGTTTTAAAAAATAATCTAGAGGACAAGATGCAATAACAAAGGCCCATCTGTCTCCAAAACATGAGAAATGTGTAACCCTGGGCATAATGTCACTTGTCAAATGAATTATGTTCTGTTTATATTAAAAAATAAAATAGTTTACTGTGGAAAAGAGGGAGTATAGGGTAACAAAATGAAAGCAGTCAGTGAAAAACTGTGTTCAGACAGAATTTCATCCAGTATGAATAGATACAGTATTACTGAAGTTCACCAAATCATAATAATTTGCATCAACAGAGATGTTCCATGTCAACTGAAGCCATTTGTCCTGCACGTTCTTATGTCTTCTTAATGAAGACCCTGTTTACATATCTGGGCTCTGCTTCTATTATTTAAGTGGTATATACTGTTCCTGGATATTTGACATCCATGCAATAAAGAACACAAGATTTCAGCACTGGTACAGGTGTGATAAATGTCATGCCCTGTGGTGATTTAGGACACTATTTCCTCAAACCAGTGGGTCTCCCCTCATATCCCCTCTATCCCAAGTTGGTATTTCACAGGGAGGGATGACTCACACCTTGTATCTGTCTCTGCAGGTCCCTTGGAACATGTTCATTTATCTCTTCCATTTGTCACCACGAAGAACAAGGAGGTCAATGCCACGGCAGTACTGTGGCCAAGTCAAGTGGGAACACTTACTTATGTCTGGTGGTTTGGGAACAACACAGAGGTTTGTATTCCCTATGGATTTATATCAAAACAATCAAGGAGGAATTCTGACTGGGAAAGGAGGAAGAGAAGGGTCTGAAAATGCCTCTAAATAGTCCTCCACACAAGAAAACTGCAAGTCAGAGGAAGAGACGCTAATTCTTAGATCTTTGATGTACCAACACTGAAATATAGGAACCGTTTTGTGATTACTGCTGTGACTTAGCTGCAGGTTTATTGCCATTTCATGCAAATTGTCAGCAGCTTTGTACTGGCATCTTCATCCAAGGTAGATATATAGAACCAAGGTCCCAAAGTGCTTCTAGTATGCTTTTTCCCTCACTCACTATAAAAGCAATAACAAAAGCTGAAAATAGCATACAGCACATTCTGCTGCCTCTGTGCTTGCAGAGTTAGTAAATCTGCACTGGCATTGCAACTGTTATTGTATGTGCCTTTGTGGCAGCAGTACCCAGGCACCCTTATTAATCTCTAAGGGGAGAGATTCTCATGGCTTTTGTAGGGCTGACATGGGCCTTCAACCACATGTTCTTCTTCTGTACAATGCAGGTCAGAGGATTGCATCAACATTTCCTGCTTTATTTACCTCTTTGCGATTAAAGTAGAATTTGAATTTCCTGTTGCTTTGTCCCACAGATGATGGAAAATTCACTGCTTCTTTCTTACCCTCTCTCCCAGCTTTCTCCCCACAGCTAATTATCTTGAGTGTTAAACATATGCCCTGTGTTTGTAGTCTGAATTTATCTAGCTCTGGTTTCAAGCTGCTGGATCTTGTTATGTCTTTGTGTGTAGATTAAAGGACTCTGTTGTATCAGAAATCGTCTCTCCCTTGAGGTACTTACAGGCTCTGATTCTCACCTTTTAACCTTCCTTCTGATCTTCTAAGCTCATAAGTGATCAGAGTTGGTCTAACTCTGTTCTCATTGAAGTGAGAATTTTACTACAGACTACAATGGGAACAGAGTTTGACTTAATACTATGTGCTTTGAAGACCTCATCCAGAGTTCATTAATAAGCGAAAACAGAAGTTATGGCAGAGACTGTTGAAAGGGAGCACAGCTCACTGATTAACTGGCTTGCACAGCAGATGAAGCCGAGGGGATCTGTGTTCTCTCTAAAACCCACCCTTTTCCAAAAGCAGCATCTCCGTGCCTATGCAGGAGAGCAACTGAGAAATGTTGATTTGCCTCCTTGTTCTGCCACAACCTCCTTAAATACCTTCAACAAACCACAACTAGATCTGGGAAAGTAGTGTGACAGCAGTGAACCTGGTGGGCCCTCCTATTAGTTAGAATCTGCACCTCTCTGGAGAGTACTCTGGAGAGAGCAAAGACACTTTAACATGGGATTCCAAACATACAGCATGCTCAGCAGAAAGCCTTTCAGTCATCCTGAGCAGTCTCCAGAAAGGCTAGGCTTCCAGGTCACACGGTCCTTCCTACTTTTGCAAGCTGGAACCAATTCCCCAAACCATCCCAATAGGCCAAAGAGCCAAACTCATCTTTGCTTTTCCTCTACAGCCAAATTAACTTATTTTCTCTTCTTCTGATGTATTTGCAGCCACTGATCACTTTGGAAGGGAGCATCACATTTACATTTTCTGTAGAAGGGATGAATACCATCACTGTTCAGGTCTCAGCAGGAAACACCATTCTTCAGGACACAAAGACCATCGCTGTGTATGGTGAGCCTTTCTCCCTTTGTTTTACATAGGATTCTCCATAATCAAGAGCTAAAGATGCAGGCTGCAATATAAGGTCTTAATTCCAGGTTGTAAGCTCATTTCCAGTGATATCAATTCAGCATAATGCCTCTGAGTTATGTTAGTCCAGACTGAGACGATTGCAGAGTGTTGACTGTCTTCCCAGAACCCTCTGTATCAGATCTGTCAATCACTATATATTAGTCAAACACAATCATAAAGATTTTAGGCTGCTTGTAAGCTGGTTTCCTCTTTTCAGCCAGTAGAGGCCTCTTTACTCACACAGAAGCTGCCTGGCTCAAATTCAAAGCCAATGCAGCGTGATGCAGTCCGGTACAGAAATCTGCATTGCTCTGATATTGTACTCAGGCCTCAGAAACAGTTATGACAAACAAATGCCATATAGTGTGGATGTAGTCCAGGAACCAATGGAAATTCCCTAAGCATGTAGTGAAAGTGATCAGCGTGAGTGTCCCTGTTAGCAAAAGCAAAGATTAAGAAGCATTTTTTCCAAGGCTGTCCAGTTAAGATTTCAGGTGTTTGCAACATGTCTATGAGAATATGATCACAGCTTCCTTTGCAGAGTTTGTCTTCTTCAGAAATCAAGAAGAAGGTAGCATTTATATTCTCCACTCAGCTCCCCTTCCAATGCTATCCACCTATTAAAAGTAATGACCTATCACCTTTTTCAGTTTTGTGACACCTGAGCAGTGAATCACTCCAATTTACTGCTGGATTCTCTGACACTGTATGCATCACTAGCAGATTGATTAAGAAAAGCAAAACACAAGCTGCAGCAGGTTTCACAAAGTTCTGCTCATTCAGCACAAGGCATTTTCAGATGTCTTACCACTGCGTCATTGTATCTGCAGAGCAATTTCGGTCCTTGAGGTTATCCTTTTCCCCAAACTTGGATGACTACAATCCAGATATCCCAGAGTGGAGAAGGGACATCAGCCGTGTAGTCAAGAGAGCTCTGGTGGAGGTAAGCAATGTGTATAAACTGTCTTATGGTGGCTCACTTTTTGCTTTCTGCCTAGATTAGGACCAAATAAATTGTTCTCTCAAGGTGTCTCTCGGTCCCTTGCAACTATAAAAGGGGGATAGATGAGTGTTTGAGTCCAGAATCCTTAATTTTATACAGGTGAAATGATCTTATCCTATGACAATCTAGTGCTCGGAGTCAGACTTCACTTTATTCTTTTTAATGGAATATCTCAGAGAAAAGGACATCTGGAAAAACAAATTACTTGTGTGCGCGTTTAGCTTTACAAATGTCTTTTCTGTTGCACTGCAATCCTTTTACTGCTGCGCTTATACAGCGGTGGAAAGTAATGCTCTTCTAATGGAATTACAAATATGCTGTAGGAAACTTAGGAGACCAAAGAGAATAATTTTCACTACTAAGAAGAGCACCCAAGTATGTACTTCATATTTGTCATATAGCATGAGTTTCATGGGTCAAGATTGGGTGCTATTTCTCCCACCAACACTACAGAGAAACTCTGAAGTTCCTTCTCTCACCGTGAAACAGAATGTCATAAAAACATTGTTTGTCTGAAGACTTGGGATTCAAACCAAGGGGCAGAGAAATGTATGTTAGAAGAGATAGGCATCAGTGGCAGTTTCTCAGTTCAGCAGAAAAATAGGAACTGTTCAAAACGCATTTGTGCCCACCTGATTAATGTCTTTCCAGCCTTTTTGCATAGATGGTATCATGAATAAAAAGCTTGCTAATAACATCCACAACCTTTGTTTCCATTCAAAATTTGAGAAATATTTTTTTAAAAAAGCAGAAAATTTGTCTGAATACTTACTGAAAGGATTTTTTTTTTTT